ATCCATTATTTAGAGCATATTCTCAAAATGTACAGTTGAAGATTGGGTCTAAAGAGGCAGAGTGTAGCGTGCCCTCAGTGGCTGTCCCGGATCTGTCTCTTGCTTTAACAGTGTTTGGACAGAAAATACCCAGGAATGCCCCTCTTCCAGCCTCCAACCACCTTCTTGCGTCTTATCCAGTCAACACCTTCACAACCACCTCCAGGACCAGCCAATACACTGGTGTGTTGTTGTTGTTTCTGGTTTTTTTTTTTTTTGTTTTTTTGTTTGTTTTTTTTTACCTTACCTCCTTATTGCTGAACAAGCATGAGCTCCCAAATTCGTCAGAATTATTTCACCAAGGTGGAGGCTGCAGTCAACCACCTGGCCAACCTGCATCTGTGGGCCTCCCCAACCTACCTTTCTCTGGACTTCTATTTTGACCATCATGATGTGGCTCTCCAGGGTGTGGGCCAATTCTTCCTTGAGTTGGCAGAGAAGAAGCTTGAGTAAGGTGACCAGATGTCCCGCTTTTGGCGGGACTTTTTTAAAACACCTCTGGACACAGGACAGATTGTTAAAAATTGGGACTGTCCCGCCAAAAGCGGGACATCTGGTCACCATAAGCTTGAGAGCAGTAATCATCAAAGTTGCAAAACATGTGAGGTGGCCTTATTCTCTTCCAGGACTTGATGAGCCTTCCAAGATGAATGGGCAAAATTCAGGACGCCAGGAAAGCCGTCCTGGCCTTGGAGATGAACTTGAACCAGTCCTTTTGGAGCTGTGAGCCCCGGTTTCTACTTCTGCAGACGCTCAGCTCTGTGACTTCTGGGAGAACCACTTCCCGGATGAGGAGGTGAAACTCATCAAGAAGATGGTCAACACCTGACTCACCTCCACAGGCTGGCCAGCCTCCAGGCTGGGCTGGGCAAGTATCTCTTCAAAAGGCTCACCCTCAAGCAAAAGTAGGTACCTTTGGGGCCCAGAGGCCTTTGAAGGCCCCCTTGCATTCCCCTGGGGTCTGGCTTTCACCTGAGCCTCTCCCCCAAACTACTAGCCATTCTTTTAACCACCCTGAAACCTTCTCCCATGCATTGGACCAAATGAAACAATAAAGCTTTTTGCAAAAGAAAAAAAAAAGAGGCAGGGTGTAGTGATGGGGAACATAAAAATATCCTTAAATTATAAATGGATCAGCAATATAAAATATTACAGTGATAAGGCTACAGAGAAAATTTATCATCTAAGATACAAAGCTTTATCTATAGAACACAGGAAGCCTTTCAATATTTTAATAAAGTTTACAGAAATTTGATAAAATATCAGCCAATTCAGCATCATGATAAATATTTTATTTAATTTTGGGCAAAACCAAGAGCATTAAATGTCTTTCTCATATATATCACTTCAAATATGGTGCAGCATCAAGAAATATAAAACTTATAAAAAAATATAAAACTTGGGCCTGGTGCATAAAAATCATACATCGGGGCGGGGGGGGGGGGGGTCCCTCAGTCCAGGAGCCCTCTTGGGATGTTCTACTGGTGGCTCCCACTCGGGCCTAAACTGCAATCTGGCATCCCTCTTCGGGAGGTGACCAGCTGACCAGGTATATAGATACTTTCTGGAAGCAACACAGACTCCTTCCTTATTTCTTTCCTTTGTGGTTGGAGAACAGGGCACTAAAAGGTGGAGACAAAACTGTGGCCAGGCCTGGGGCTTTTGTAGGCAGCGGAAAGAGGGAGAGGGCTGGGAAAAGTCTGGACACATTTCCTTCGATTATCCTCCCTTCCTTCAGGCCCCTCTCTCCATTTTTTCCTTCTCATAGTGGATGCATGGTCCTTAGACCAAGCCCAGTAACAGTGAAGTTCACCCCCCTCATTTCTCAGCTAAAGGTACAGCTGCCTCGCATTTTCAGGTGATTAAAGCACTGGAATCCACAGCTCCAGGCCTCTCCCCTCTCACTTTCCTCTTTGGGTCAGTTGCAAAGTTCACAGAAGCACCAAAGCAGCTCTGCACTGGGTGGGGTATGCATGCAGGCAGGGTCATGTCCCAGGTCAGGGACACAGGCAGACAGCTCCACCTCCTCCCTGGGTGGGACATGAGCACTGGGCAGGCCTGGGCAGGCCTCCACTGGGGGCAGAAGTCCCCACCCCAGTCCCCCAGCTCCTGTATGCGCACAACCCATTGACTGGTTGTGACTGGGACACCATAACAGACAAATTAGCGTAGTACCAAGAAGGCTAAAAAGGGCTAATTCCAATGTGACCCTTATAGGTGGGGCTGGTGATCTGAATTCATGCCAGCAAGCTCAGTGTACATTCTTGATAACCTATAATTAAGTCACTACCTCCTTCCCAGATACTGGTCTTGCAGAACCTGTTACTGTGGATAGTGCACTGCCCCAGAGGGAGGGTTATTAACGCTGGCACCAGGCCAGGCCATCAGCTATGGCCTGGAGACCCCCAACACCTGGGGGCCTTCTTGCAAGGCCCACGAAAAGGACGGGAAGCAAAATCCATGTTTGTGGGACAAAGACAACAGAGAGATGTAAAAAAAAAAAAAGCCCCATGCATGTTTCTTCACTCAGATTTGGAAGGCTGTTCCCTGAGTCCGCCAGTGTATTAAACAGTGTCTCTCCTGTTCTTGAAGGCATCAATTGGTTTTTCTTTGGTCTTCTGCACCATTACCTCTTTAGTATATAGGATAGAAAAATAATAGACAAACAATTAAATAAAACTTTTATTTAATCTATATAAAGCAAAGATTGCACTCATTCGTTGAATCACAATATGCACAGTGCCTAGTGGAAGAACATAAAACATGCAGGAAGAACATAAAACAGATACAGGAATGCCGTGAAACAAATCATGTTGTAAACATGTTATTAGAATCAAACAATGATTAGTAATCAAGAGGTTAAACCCCAAACACTGCATCATAACTAGGGATTTATTGTAATTACATGTAAGTCCATTGACTGACTCACATTTCAAGCACAATTCCAGAATGTATCAAGTGAGGAATTGCTTGTCTCAAATCACGTGACCAGAACTGATATATTCCTAGAGGTTTAAGAGTATAGATAGAAAGATAGAGAAACCAAAAACAAAAACATGATTTCAGTTCTACAGTTAATCATGACCTTCACCAAAATACTTTTCTGTAGGTCTTTTTCCAATGGTAATTCTTAGTTCTAAAAAGACCATAGAAAGGGGAGAGAGGAATAGAATAACATTAAAAGAAGGAAGGGTCGAAACCGGCTTGGCTCAGTGGTTAGAGCATCAGCCTGAGGACTGAAAAGTCCTAGATTTGATTCAGGTCAAGGGCATGTACCAAGGGCATGTACCACACCCAGTAGGGGGTGTGGAGGAGGCAGCTGATTGATGTTTCTCTCTCATTGATGTTTCTAACTCTCTATCTCCCCTTCCTCTCTGTAAAAAATCAATAAAACATAGAAGAAGAAGAAGAAGAAGAAGAAGAAGAAGAAGAAGAAGAAGAAGAAGAAGAAGAAGAGAGAAGGAATGAAGACCAAGTCTTCTTTGGCCATCTCCTTATTCTTAAATCATTCCACCCCAGCCCCAAACTCAAAGTCATACAACCCTCCATACTCTCAAAGCCCTCCCTCTCACCCTGACTGCATCACGGCTCATGTCTTTGTCCACCGGGTGGACAGTAATTCTTCCTATCTCCTAATTACTGGGGAGCTGGCAGCTGTTATGGTTTCAACCACACAGAAGGAACCCAGAGGGACCTGTGAAGAGGGGGACCATTCACCCTGCTGGGAAGCTGAGGTGCTCAAGGCACTGAGACCCTTTGAGCTGGGGCAGGGCCCAAAGTCACAAACCCTGGTGGTGATAGCGGCTCCATGTTCAGCACATTAGGCCAGTGCACAACACACCACTGCTCACAGCATCCCTAGGAGGTGGGTACTGTTTTCCTCCTCATTTTATTATAGAATAGGGCAGCTTATAGAAACTTGGCCAATGCCACCCCATTTTTAGGGAGCAGAGGCTGAATTCAAACTCGGGGGGTGGGGGGGTGGGGGGAAGATGACATTCCCCCAACCTTATCAGACCAGAGATTTGCTTGCAGGTCCAGGAAACTTGCCCTGCTAAGAAGCCAAGATCATACCTGAGCGCGTGCAGGGGCCAGCCTGGAAGGGGGGGAGGGGGAGCTGCTAGAATCTGGGCGCGCTGGCCTTAAGGGAGAGGGTCCCCTTAAGGAAGGGGGTCTTTATCTCACCCGACAAAAAACAATCCCCCAACTGGGAGCGGGCTCCCCGAGCGAGGGCCGCGGCCAAAGGCGGAGGGAGGGCCAGGCAGATGGCCGAGGGGAGGGAGCAGCCGGCGGGTCGGCAGGGAACCGAGGAGGCGGGTGAGGAGGTGGGTTGGGAGGTGGCGGCGGAGCCGGAGAGCCTGCAGTCCTGGTCGTCGTGGGCCCTATGGGACGAGCAGGACCTGTTGAGAGTGGAGCTGCCGGGCTCGGGGGCCCCGGAGGCGTGGGGCCCCGGGATCGGAGGGGAAGCCCCTGGCCCGAGGGAGGCGGGGCCGAGGCCGAGAGCCTGGGAGGGTCTCGGCGGAGCGGAGAGGGCGGGCGCCCGGCCTGCGCGGCCGAGGGGCGGGGAGATCGCGGCCCCGGGGGGCGGGGCGGCAGCCGGGCCGGAGGTCGCCGCGGTGCAGGGCGAGCGGGAGAACAGGGTGATCAGGGAGTGGTACTTGGAGGAGACCCAGGGGCGCGCCGGGGAGCAGGCGGGGACGCCCCCGCGGGACGGCACCCCGGAGGACGAGCCGCTGCAGCCCCTGGGGAAGAAGGCCAAGTACCCCGAGGTCGCGGGGCGGGCCGAGTCCCCGGGGGGGTCGTTCTGGGAGAGCCCGACCCCCCGGAGGAGGGACATCCCGACGGGTGACTCCACGGATCAGCTGTTCCGGCGGCCCAAGTTCCGATTCAGCATCCACTCCTCCAAGGCTGTGCACCCTCAGTCGGACTCCTCGCTCAGCATCATCAACGAGCTGGCCAAGATGGGCGACCCGGAGGTCCTGGAGATGGTGATGGAGGAAGGTAGGGAGCCGGCCGGCTGAGGGGGCGCGGGAGAAGGGTAGGGCTCTCCCCTGGGAGGGGAGGGTGGTGGTGGGGGACGACGTTGGCGACCCTGCTGCCTGGAGCCCAGAGACATTCATTCACCCAGGGATGTGCCCTGTGCAAGAATGGGGACTGCGAGACCCTGCCCTGGGTGGATGATGGGTGAGTGGCGCCCCAGGGCTTTCTCCGCTGCTCCTGCAAGCTGGGACCTGGTTCCCCCCGTGACCGCCTGTGGTTCCAAGATCACCTTCCTTTTGCACCTCTGTGTGCACCCCGAGGAGCCCGGGGAAAATAAGCACCCAGAACAGAGTCTCCTACAGGGAGCTGTGGTTTAGGGTGTATGACCTGGGACCCTTGTGTGGGTGCTTTTGCCTCTATTCGCCCGATGGCTGCTGGAGCTTTGTGGTGCTAGTTATAATTATGGGAGAGGCAGGCACTTCGAACACGGCTGTACCACCAGCTTTCATTGAACCTTCAGTGGAGAAATATTTGCTCATTGTTTGCTAAGGCCTTTGTACTGACCCATACCCTGTGGATCTGTTTTACCTTGGTGCACATCTCCTGTTTTCTAAGACTATTTCCAAGGACGCTAAGTTCCCTTGATGACAGTCTGTTTTCTGGTCTCCTGTAGTGTTAGATCTAAACGTGGACATAGCCCTTTTAAGTAACAGGAGATCTATGCAGTCTTACTAGTTAGTCTTCAAAGACACCAAGAAATGCAAGGTATTGTTGCTTCTTCCTCCTCCACTTTCTTAACAGTTTTGTTGATACACTATAAAAGTCGTCCATGTAGAGCTTACCATGCAGTGGTTTTTGGCATATATTCACAGAGTTGTGCAATCATCACCATAATCTAATTTTAGAACATTTTCATCACCTCAAATAGAATCCTCTTAGGAGTCACTTTCCATCAACTCCCTTCCTCTTATTCTGTACTCCCAGCCTATGGGCAGCCACTAATTTACTTACTATTAATGTATATAGCAAACATAATCAATAATAATAAAAGTGTAATATGCTAATTAGACCAGATGTCCTTTCCCAGGACCTGCTGGATGAAGCCAGGGCTGCAAAAAAAAGCCCGGGTCCCCGTGCCAGAGGAAATCCCATGCAGGCAGCCAGGGGAAGGAAAGCCTACTTTTGCAAGAATTGCATGAAGTGTGATCATGTAAACAGACTCATATGATATGTGGCCATTTGTAATGGGCTTCTTTTTCTTATCTTAATGATTTTGAAGTTCACCTATGTTATAACTTATGTCAGTGCATTATTCCTTTTTATTGCCAAATAATATTCCACATTTTATTCATTCATCAGTTGGTGAACATTTAGGTAGTTTTCACTTTTTTTTTCCTCTCTCATGAATAATGCTATTATGAATGTTTATGTACACGCTTTTGTATGGCATTGTTTTTATTTTTTCGGTTATATACCCAGGAGTGGAATTGCTGGATCATGTGGTAGCTCTATAGTGAAAATTTTGAGAAACTGCCAAACTATTCCAAGTGTCTGCATCATTTCATAATCCCACTAGCAATGTATAAGAGTTCTAATTGTTCCACATACTGGTACACACTAACATTTTTATTATCTGTCTTAGCTATCACCTTCCTAGTGTGTGTTGAGTGGTATCTCAATGTGGTTTTGATTTGCATTTTTTTTTCAGTGATTCATGTGTCAAATATCTTTTCCGTTGCTTACTAGCCACTCATATATCTTCTTTGGAGAAATGTCTGTTCAAATTATTTGCCATTTTACAATTTCGTTATTTGTCATTTTATTATTGCATTGTAAAAATTCTTTATATATTCTGTATATATGATTTGCAAATATTTTCTCTAATTCTGTGTGAAGCAACTACCCCCTTTTAAGTAAAAATAATAATAATTTAAGGATAGAGGGAAATGAAACAATGAAAAACTTTTAGCTTTGACTGATGTCTTTGCTAAATGATGCAATATATTTATTTGTTAGTAAAAATGATTGGTGTTCAGTAATGCAAAAGAAATCAAATGACTTTTGAATGTATAAAATTGGGGGTTCCTACCTACCAGTATATTTGTTTTTTAAATGGATAAGATAATCAATAAAATAGAGGTCCCTATTTTTATTGAATGGTTTTCTCCTTTGCTGAGAATTACTTTTAGTTGTAATTCCAGTAATTCAAAAAACTTTGCTTACTGGAATGTGATGGTGCAGTTTGAGTCTGTTCAAGGAAAGTTTTAAAAATTTTCCAAAAAAGTATTTCAGTTTTTTTGTTTGTTTTTTTTTTTTTGGCAAAGGCCTTTGTAATTTATATTTCCTCTCATAGTAGTTGAAGCTTGGCCTCTAGTATCGGTGGAGATAGAAGAGAATATTGATATGGAATATCATATACACTTCCCATTATTAAGGCCTCTGTTATTACTAGGGTTGTATGAAAAGTGCATTGCAGTGAGGATGTATTTTTTAAAAAATAATTACAGTTTACATTCAGTATTATTTTGTATTAGTTTTAGGTTTACAGATTAGTGGTTAGACAATCATATATTTTACATAGTGTTACCCCCTGATAGTTTCAATACCCACTTGGCACCATACATAGTTATTACAAGAATATTGACTATATTTTCTTTATATCCCCATGACCATTTTATAACCACCAATCTATACTTTTCTCTTCACCTTTTTCACTCAGTCCCCTAACCTCTCTTGCTTCTGGCAACCATAAGGTTGTTCTCTGCATCTGTGAGTCTTCTGTTTTGTTTGTTCATTTAGTTTGTTCTTTAGATTCCACACATAAGTGAATCACATGATAGTTGTCTATGTCTGATTTATTCATTTAGCAAAATAGCCTCTAAGTTCATTCATGTTTTCACAAATGGCAAGATTTCATTCTTTATCATGGCTGAGTAATATTCCATTATATATATGTACCCACATTTTTACACACTCGTCTCTTGATGGGCACTTTGGTTGCTTCTGTATTGTGGCCATCATATTAATAGATAGTGCTGCAATAAACACAAGGGTGCATACATTCTTTCAAATAAGTGTTTTTGTTTTTGATATATACCCAGAAGTGGAATCCTGGGTCATAAGGCAGTTCCATTTTTAAATGCTTGAGGATCCTCCATATTGTTTTTCATAGTGGCTGCACCAATCTACATTTCTTCCAACAGTGCATGAGGGTTCCCTTTTTTCACTTGTTTGTTGGTTTATTTTTTTTAAATATATTTTTATTGATTTTAGAGAGGAGGGAAGTGGGGGTGGGGAGAATGAGAGAGAGAGAGAGAGAGAGAGAGAGAGAGAGAAAGAGAGAGAGAGAGAAGGATGATGATGATGAGAGTGAATCATAGATTGGCTGTCTCCTGCACACTTCATGCTGAGAACCAAGCCTGTAACCTGGGCATGTGCCCTGACCTGGAATGGAGCCATGACTTCCTAGTTCATAGGTGGATGCTCAACCACTGAGCCACGTGGGTGTGGTGGAAAAGACAGTTTTAAAGTTGAATGTAGAATTGCTTGCATCTTTTTTTTTATTATTATTATTGATTTTTTTACAGAGAGGAAGAGAGAGGGATAGAGAGTTAGAAACATCAATGAGAGAGAATTATTGTTCAGCTGCCTCTTGCACACCCTCTACTGGGGATATGCCCACAACCAAGGTACATGCCCTTGACCAGAATCGAACCCGGGACCTTTCAGTCTGCAGGCCGGCGCTCTATCCACTGAGCCAAACCGGTTTCGGCTGCTTACATCTTTACAATCATGTTAAACATTGTATTTAACCAAACCATCTATCGTTTGATAATATAAATATTTGATATTTACAATTGCATATACAGTTGATCCTTGAACAACATGGGTTTGAACTGTGTGGGTTCACTTATGAGTGTATATATTTCAATAAACATTGCCAATATATTTTTCTTATGATTTTCCTAATGTTTTCTTTTTGTTATCTTAACTCTATATAATAAAAGGCTAATATGCAAATCGATCGACAGTAGAATGACTGGTCGCTATGACATTCACTGACCACTAGGGGGCAGACACTCAATGCAGGAGCTGTTTCCTGGTGGTCAGTGTGCTTCCACAGGGGGAGCACAGCTCAGCCAGAAGCCAAGCTGCTGTGGAGGCCTCTCCCGCCTCCACAGCAGCACTAATGATGTCCAACTGCCAGCTTAGGCCCACTATCCATGGGGATCTGGCCTAAGCTGTCAGTTGAACATCCCCCGAGGGCTCCCAGACTGCGAGAGGGTGCAGGCTGGGCTGAGGGACATCCCCCCGCCTCTCATGCACTGACCCTCTTAATACAAAATACGTGTTAATCACTGTGACAGGCTTCCTTTAACTAGACGATTAGCCAGTTAAATTTTTGAAGAGTTGAAGTTAAACAAAGACTTTTGACTATGGGGGGTGGGTATCAGTGCCTTTAATCTCTGTGTGGGTCAGTGTACATTTATTTAATACAGCTGGAAGGAGTGTAAACTGAGAAGATCATTTGGTAAATGCAAGGTCTATTTTTGGGCTCTGGGTCTGCTGGAGTGCGTATTCTTAGTAATGTGCTTTCAGCAACAACTTGAAGCTCAGTCTTTGGGCTGACTTTACTTTTAGCTCTTATTTTATGATTCTTCACAATGATATAAGCCATTATATCCTACATATAATATCCTTTATGTCTCTTGTTTCTAGATCATTAAATCTCACATGGTGAGAACTAAGAGATAGCAATGGACACCCATATAGGATATTTTCCTCTCAGCAGTTTTGTGCCTATGTATTTAATAACTGCATTTATCAGAGTTAAGTTTATTTCTTGGTAGGTGCCATTATATCCTACATATTGGCATTTTGTGTTTTTCTCCTAGATTATATAAAATTTTGGGCACTGATTTGTTTTGGAGGCTGTTTTGAACAATTTAGATCCAGGAATATTTGGGGTATTTTTTTCTTTGAACTTTTTGTTTGATTTTTGAATTCTTGTTTTCTCTATATGCAAACTCTTAGCGTATTCTGATCAATTGGCCATTTAACATGTTTTGTTTTATTTTTTTTCCCTTTCTTATTTAATTTAGAAAGAAGATACAGAAGGGACTCAAGCTTTGTTTTAGAAATGAGTGAGGTAAGTTAAATATATATACTAGCAACCTATAAGGCAGAATGAGAAACCAAGACTAGGTTAGAAACGCACTTTATATGAATGCTTTAGGTCTTTGTTCTTCAGATATTTACTCATACTATATTCTTTCTATTTTTGTCCTCTAACCTGGTCATTTTTTTTTTTTATTAAGTAAAGCAAATACCATGTAATATGCAGATCTAATGTTGGGTCTTTCTAGTTGTTATAAGGGAGTAAACACAAGCTTGGATCACAATATATTCAGCATCAGAAAAGACAGTTTTAGGGTTTATCAATGGAAAAGGCAGGTACTATGAAAATGTGTCTCTCCCACATATTCATCTGCATGAAATCAATGGAGATGATGGGCAGTCTGGCTTTCACTCTCAATAGATGGAACCAGGTGCTCAATTCATGTGTGCTGGGTTGTTGTTAGAGATAGCCTGGTGGAAAGCCATGAGTTTCACCATTACTGTCTAGAAGGAGAGAAGCCATCCCCACACCTCTCCCTGCCATGGTGACAGTGGAAGCCATATAGGGAGCAGTAAGGAGGCATCCTTCCAGACAGGTTGGGATCAGTGAAGGCCTAAGGGTAAACTTGAACTTCCATTCCTCCCCAGTAGTAATGAGAAACCCTTCCACCATTCCACCAACCCTTCAGTATCCACAGAGGTGAAGAAGGTAACCTAGAATTTTACCCCAACCAGATTGTAAGGCATCATTCCACTTACCCCATCAGTGTGGTGTCAGAGAAGTCTTCAATTTTAGTAAAGCAGGAGATTTAAATAAAATATATAATCTTATACCACAATGCCCTACAAATTTTGATTTCTGTAGAAAAACCACCTATAATACCAAGAACCGTAAAAACATCAACTTGAATGAGAACAGACAAGCAATAGATACCAATGTTGTAGTGACACAGATATTAGAACATATATGATTAGGATTTTAAAGCAACTATCATCCAAGTGCTTTAGTGAGCAATTTTGAACATTCTTCAAACATAATAAAGTAGAATGTCTCAGCAAAAATATAACAGAAGTTTAAAGAAGAAACTAGGGGAAATTTTAGAATTGAAAAATAGATAAGTGAAATTAGAAAAAAAAAAAAAACTCAACAGAGGTGGAATGGATAGAAGAAAAAAAATCATTGAATTTGGAGATAGAATAGAAATTACCCAAGCTAAACAGAAGAGAGGAAAAATTGAATGAAATGAACAGAGCCTCAGGCAACTTTGGGGCTATACCAAAAGATCTTGTATTGGGTTCCTGAAATCCCAGGATTGCTGGAAATAGCTCAATTTGTCAAAAATACATAAGCTTACAGATTCAAGAAGCTGAAGATACTACAAACAGGATAAACTCAAGAAATTCACATAAATTGAACTAAAACTGGTTCAGAAAACTAAATATTAAAAAAAATTTCTTGAAAGCAGTGAGAAAAATACACCTTAACTATAGAGAGAAAGTAATTAAAAATTACAGTAGCTTTCTCATCAGAAGCCCAAGGAAGTGCTACAATTGTTTTAAGTGGTCAAAAAACTGCCAAATTCAGAATTATATAGCCAATGAAAGTACCCTTTGGTATCAACAGTAAATCAAGACATTCTCAAAAGAAGGAATACTAATGAAAACTTTTACCAGCACAACTACCCTAAAAGTTTGGCCAAAGTAAGTTCTTTAACAGAAATAAATGATAAAATGAATATTGTGACATGGGAAAGGAGTTGGGGGAAAGCAGGAGGAGTAGAAATATGACTAAATGCAATAGACTTTCTCCTCTGAGTTTTCAAAATTATGCTTGACAATTGCAGTAAAAATATTTAACAATTTCTGATGTTCTCAATGTATACAGAGAAATAGTTAAGATAATAATAAAGAGGTTTGGGAATATAAATGGACATTGGGTTATATACTTCATTGATAGATAAAATATACATACTGTGGGTTGTGACAAATAATGTATATATAATGTAATGTCAAAACCCACCACTTAAAAAACTATACGGAAAGTGATACATTCAAAAACTGCTTAGATAAATCAAAATGGAATTATTTAGAAAGTTCCAATAACCAATAGGAAGTCTTGCAAAATAAAAGAGAGAAATATAACAGAGAACAAACAAAAACCAAAACAAAAAATAAAATGGCAGAATTAATTCGTAATTGAATAAATGCAAATAGTCTAAAGACAATAATTAAAAGACAGATTTGCAAAGAGCATTAAAAACATGAAAATTAAATGATTAAAAACATTATGACTGAAAATTAAATGATTAAAAACATTAATAGAAAGCAGGAGTGCTAAATTAATATATAAAGTATACTTTGTAGCAAAGAAAAAATACCATGGAAATAGCAGGACATAATAGAATCATTATAAGCATCTATCCAACATTAAGAAACAGGTAAGTTATATGTACCAAGTAATAGCATCATAATATATGAAGCAAAATAATAGGATGGAAAGTAATACACAAGTATATAATTACAACTGGACACTTCACTCTTTTCTCAACAATAGATGACACAGCTAAAGAGAAAACCAGCAAAGATATAGATTAACTTAATATAGTGGTCGGCAAACTCATTAGTTAACAAAAATGCAAACTGCAGTTTGCCAACCACTGACTTAATATATCAAGCTACAGGATATAATTGTCATTTATGGTCTACTCCATTTGACAGCAAGATAATACATATTCATTTCAAGTACTTATGGAGCACATACCAAGATAAACCTCAACAAATTTAAAATAATTTATCATAGAGTGTGTTTTTTAAATCACAATAGAATCAAATTAATAAGAATGATAACAGGAACATCTCCAATAATTAGAAGCTAAACAACATACTTATAAACAATTCATGGGTCAAAGAAAACACAAAACAAAACATTGAACTGAATAAAAGTGAAAATGCAACATAGTAACATTTGAGGGTTGTAGTCAAAATAATACTGATAGAATCACATATGAGAGAAATAAGATTTTGAGTATTTATTCACTTAGTTTTAGTCTTCCCACTCTCTGAGTAATGTCATCAAATGTTTGAAAGACCTAAAATAATCAATTGATTCTGCCTTTTGATCCTGTTGAGAATTCAGCATCATTAAAAGAATGGAGATCCTAATTCTTTGTAATATAGTGGTTCATAACCATTTCTTGTGTCTCAGGTGTTGTTTTTTTCTATGATTTGATAAAGATACCTCTGAAATTCTCATTTCCTCTCATGCTCTCTCTCTTCATACACACACACATATATATATATATACCCACACTTGTGGGAATACACATGCACATGTGTACACATATATAGACACAGTTTGCATTTAGTTTCAGAGCTCCCCTGAATTGCAGGTTTAGTATTTCTGCAGAAAGAAGCTAGAGCTTTTGTTGCTGAACATTATATGCTCCCACTTGCATCATGATTAACAGCATTGTATCTTCCTTATGGTGCTAATTGCAGAGCTCGAGCAACAGAGAGACCAGCTGTCTCCTCAGTGAAGCAAGAGAGGTAAGTAATGATCAGTACTATACTCTCTCTCTCTCTCTCTCTCTCTCTCTCTCTCTCTCTCTCTCTCTTTTTAAATTAAATTATTGTGGTAAGCCTTGGCTAGTTTGGCTCAGGGGATAGAGTGTCAGCCTGCAGACTGAAGGATCTCAGATTCGATTCCAGACAAGAGCATGTACCTTGGTTGCAGGTACATCCCCAGTAGGGGGTGTGCAGGAGGCAGCTGATCGATGTTTCTAACTCTCTGTCCCTCTCCCTTCCTCTCTGTAAATTTATTGGAGTGACATTGGTTATAAGATTATATAGGTTTCAGGGGAGAAACCAAGATGGCAGCATAGGTAAACACCTACATTACTGCCTCACACAACAACTTCAAAATTACAACTAAAAGACAAAATGGACATTATCCAAAACTACAGGAAGGCTGGCTGAATAAAAATTCTACAACTGGAAGGAAAGAGAAAAGCACACCGAGACTCAGAGGAGCTGCAGGAGGCAGAGGTACTGAAACGCGCACGCGGAGAGGACTGGCAACTTAGTGTGCAGCTGGCTTTCTCAACAGGAGGGAGAGAAAAGCTCCTGACTGCACTGAACTCCAGTTCCAAGCAAGAGTTTAGGGACCCAGACTCATTCAGGGAAAAAATGGACTGTCTGGCAATGGACAGAACTCAAGGGTGGCTTTTTCTCAGAAGTGCTTGTAGCGATTACCTCAAGACACTGAGACACAGGGGCCTATTAGGGAAGGGCTGACAAGACCAATGCTGTCTGCTCTGTCCTAAGACTCCACCCCATCCACACTGAGCACAGAGGCTTTTTGCAAGTCTTGTCTCGTAAGGGTGTCTCCAGCACAGAAGTTCTTCTAGCATAGACATAGTTGATCCTCACAGCCATTTGGCCAGGAGGTAAATTCCTCCCAGTGATACCAATAACAATCAAGGCTTAACTACAACAACACTGTACACATAGCCCACAAAAGGGTGCACCAAGAGTGTCCATCTCAGGAGGCTGAGTCACTGGCCCTATAGGACACCTACCACACAAAGCCACTCTATCAACTCAGGGAAGCAGCCAAAGTGTGGAAACAAAGAAACAGATCACAAATGAAAGAAATGGAGGAAAATAAATTACTGGATATAGAGTGCAAAACTATGGTTATAAGGTTTTTCAAGAATTTTCTAGAAAAGGCCATTATATTTAGCAAGACCCTCGAGAATATGAAAAAGGACAACTAGAAATTAAGCATACACTGACTGAAATAAAAAAACATTATACAGAGATCTAACAGCAGACTAGAGGATTGCAAGAATCAAGTCAAAGATTTAAAATACAAGGAAGCAAAAAAAAAAAAAAAAAAACAACAACAACAACAAATAAAACAAACAAAAAAAAAAACACTCAACTGGAAAAGCAAAAAGAAAAAAGAATCCAAAAATATGAAGATAGTGAAAGGAGCCTCTGGGACAACTTCAAGCATAACAATATGGGGGTGCCAGAAGAGAAAGAACAAGATACTGAAAACCTATTTGAAGAAATACTAAAAGAAAAATCCCACCACCTGGTGAAAGAAATAGACTTACAAGTCCAGGAAGCATAGAAAACTCCAAATAAAAGGAATCCAAAGAGGACCACACCAAGACACATCATAATTAAAATGCCTAGAGCAAAAGACAAAAGAGAGAATATTAAAAGCAGCAAGAGATAAACAGTTACCTACAAGGGAGCACCCATTCCATTGTCAGCTGATTTCTCAACAGAAACTATGCAGGCCAGACAGGATTGGCAAGAAATATTCAAAGTGATGAAGAACAAGAACCTACAACTAAGATTACTCTATCCAGCAAAGCTATTATTCAGAATTGAAGGTCAGATAAACAGCTTCACAGATAAGAAAAAAACTAAAGGAGTTCATCACCGCCAAACCAGTATTATACAAAATACTGAAATGCATTTTTTAAGAAGAGGAAGAAGAAAAAAAAAGTAAAGATAAAAATTATGAACAACACATACATATCCTTCAACAAGTGAATCTAAAAATCAAGTGAATAAAAAAATCTGATGAACAGAATAAACTGGTGAATATAATAGAATCAGGGGCATAGAAAGGGAGTGGACTGACAATTCTTGGGGGGGAATGGGGTATAGGGATGCAGGAAGAGAATGGACAAAAATTGTATACCTATGGATGAGGACAGTGGCAGGGGGTAAGGGCAGAGGGTGGGGTGGGAACCGGGTGGAGGGGAGCTATTGGGGGGGGTGAAGAATAATTGTAATAATCTGAACAGTAAAGATTTATTTTTTTTAAAAGATGATGTAGGTTTCAAGTGTCGATTGCTTTTTTTAAAATAAAGAAAATTTTTAGTGGGTTTTGGAGAAAGAAAGGGAGGGAGAGAGAGAGAAAAAGAGGGAAGGAGAGAGTGAGAGAGAGAGCGAGAGCGAGAGAGAGAGAGAGAGAGAGAGCCCTCCTTGCAGCTAAGACTTAGCCTCTTCCCCTCTGACAGCTAGCTGTTCAGTCTGGTCTCTGTATCTATTAGTCTGTTTCAATTTTATTTCTTTAATTTGTTCATTAGATTTCATATATAGGTGAAATCATGTGGTATTTGTCTTACTCTGACTAGCTTACTTCCCTAAGCTTATACTCTCCAAGTCCCTCCATGATGCTTGTGATGTTTGAAATGTTTTTCTTTAATCCTGGGCAGGATGTGTTAACTCTGTTGATTGCTTCACAGCCTGCAAAGAGATACAATTTGTTCCTGAGGCGACGTCTTATGGTAAAAGCAGTGCTGAATGCTGCTGCTTATGCTTGGATAGCTGCAGTGATAGTCTAAATCATTTTTATCCCAAAGAATTGTATTGATTTTGGGGTGTTTTGTTACTGATTCCTCTTCCCTGGGCAATTGAAGTTTTAGAATGGTGACTATTAATTTTTTTATCTGATTAAAGCTATGGAACCTCTTCCTAAAAATGTGTATGCTTATCATATTCTATGTAATAAAATAGTAATATGCAAATTAACCATCACTCTGCTACACCAACAAGCCACGCCCACAAGCCAATCAGAGCAAGTATGCAAATTAACCCCAACCAAGATGGCTGTGGCCACAGAGAGCAGGAGGGAGGCTTGATTTTCCCGGACAATGGAGGAAGCCCAGCTTTCCACACACCCTGGCAGGACCAGGCCTCCACTCAAAGCTACAAAGTTTCAATTATAGAAGGTAAATAAATTCCAACAGAAATGGCAGCAGCCATGGAGCTGGGAGAGAAGGAGGCTAGGGTTGTCCCAGGTGATGGAGAAAGTCCAGCTTCTGCAGCTCTGGCGGCTTAGGCCTTCACTCCAGGCTACAAAGTTTCAATTATAGAAGATACATAAATTCCAACAGAAATAGCTGCCACCACCGAGCAAGCAGGAAACTTGGCTCTGCCCCAGGCTACAAAGTTTCAATTGAAGAAGATAAATAAACCCCAGATACCAGGGCCTCTGCTTGAGTTGCCGGGGGCGTGGCCGGCCTGCAAACCACCATAGGCCCCTTGTCCAGCCCGCCCCATGTCCCAAGGGAACCCCCACTCTGATCCACAACACCCTTCAGGGCAAACCAGCTGGCCCCCACCCATGCACCAGGACTCTATTCTATCTAATAAAAGAGTAATATGTAGATTGACCATCACTGCAACACACAAGATGGCTGCCCCCATGTGGTCAAAGATCCTGCCCCATGTGGACACAAGATGGCCAGCAGGAGAGGGCAGGTGGGTTAGACCAGGCCTGCAAGGGAGAGCAGTTGAGAGAAACCAGGCCTGCAGGGGAGGGAAGTGGGGGCGATCAACCTGCAGGGGAGGGCAGTTAGGGGTGACCAAGCTGGCAGAGGAGGGAAGTTGGGGGCAAACAGGCTGGCAGGGGAGCAGTTAGATAGCAATCAGGCTGGCATGGGAGTGGTTAGGGGGTGATCAGGCTGGCAGGCAGAGGCAGTTAGGGGCAATCAGGAAGGCAGGCAGGCGAGCAGTTGAGAGCCAGCAGTCCTGGATTATGAGAGGGATGTCCAACTTCCCATTTAAACACGATCCCACTGGGATCGGGTCTAAATGGACAGGCAGTCGGAAGTCAGACATCCCTCAAGGGGTCCCACATTGGAGAGGGTGCAGACTTGGCTGACAGACACCCCCCGCCCCCTTGCAAGGAATTTTGTGCACTGGGCCTCTAAAAAATACACACACACACACACACACACACACACACACACACACACACGGTACATACATATAATTTACATACTATTTCAGAACCCCATTCAGAAATCCAAGTCTCTCAACTTCAGAATAATTTCCTAATTTAAAGAAAATGCCCAGATTTATAAAAGGCTCATTATATATAGGCATTTCTAAAAGCAAATCAAATATAAACACAAATTTGTACACACACTGCAAAATATCTTAATGTCATGTTTTTGGCAAAACAAAACAATGATGAGTTTTAATAGTATCTGGTTATATATAAAAAAATTATCAGGTTTTTCTGCCCCAGTGGCTTCAATAAGTTTTTGTTAACAGTGCTGACAAATACCTCATGGTGACTTACAAGGCTACAAGTGATTTTTCCTTAATTTGAAAATGTTTACAGTTTTAGTCAGGGCACAATATAATGACAGAAGTTTGGGTTTCCCCATGTAGCCTTTGGCTTTCAGTAGAAGGGAAGTATACACTGAGTGGCCAGATTATTATGAACTCTGAGCACATAATATTCTGTCTACCCAGTGTATATCATATATCGATATAATAAAAGACTAATATGCAAATTGTCCCCTTGACCAGGAGTTCAACCAAGCAGGCAGGCTGGCCAACCATCCATGTCCCCTCCCCCGGCCAGGTTGGCCAGACCCACCCATGCATGAATTCATGCACCAGGCCTCTAATACACACACACACACACACACACACACACACACACACACACACACACAAACTGAGTGGCCAGAGTGACCAGATTACTATACGTTCAGATATCAAAATAATCTGGTCACTCAGTGTGTATATCCATTTTGACTGAACCCTCAAGAAAATAATGGGAGTCATTATTTTTGTAGTTACTTGTTTATTTCTTAATAGTTAAATACTCTGTGATTTTTACTGATTTCTATGTGCCCATTTTCTGTTACCAGAACTCAGAATTCTCCATGGACCTAGATTTAGCTTTTCAAACAGTAAGAGTACCTTTAAATATATGTTGTTTCCTTTTATAAAATACCATGCAAAATAGCTGTCATAGATTTAGAGGAAAATGTTTATTGTTTTTCCCTTCTATTTTTTGCTTTGATTATATTTATTCTAATTAATTATTTTGGCCCAATTAGCTTCCATGAGTTTTAGTGAATTTCATGTTCATACTATGATTTACAAAAGAGTTCAAGTGGTTTATTTTGTTTACTTTTACTTTTTTAGTAATTTATAATCAGTGTATAACAGTTTGAGTTTTCTCAGGTATTTTTTTTTTTTTACTTTCTTTTCAGAAATGGGAGATGATTATGTAATTCTTTTGGGGCATAGAGAACTTTGAAATAACATTTGAGTTTCTTTTTATATTTAATTTTTAGACTCCCTAAATATTTCTGTTAACCTATTTTTCCACTCATTTCCTTCTTTGCATTGGAAACTACTTATTTTCAGCCACATCAACTATGTGTTCATATAGATAAAATGCAATTACTCAGTTCATAAAACACACATCATACCTGAAATTTTTGTCTTATTTGCAAATGAGTGGTCTACACTCGTTTCTTTATATGGCCTGACTTGACTGAAAAACAGCATAGGGCACCATAAAATAAACTCACAAGCTGATATAAACACCAGTGATGAAAATTTTAAAAATCTAGTTCTTCTTTCACTGATTAGATACAAGAAAGTTGTCTATATTATAATTTTGCATCACAGAGTTATATCACTGACATCCACTGCCTTATCTGGTTGCATCATTCTAAGTATTATATGGGGCTATTCCAAGTATTACATAAAAACTATAAAGAGAATTAGTGAAATATGAAGTTTCTTCTCTCTAAAGCTCTCTAGTGTCCTTGTGGTTTTGAAAGGGAAGGCACTAATGAACTATACAGCATGTGAAAGTTGAATTTGAAAGTTTGATTATTATGCTGAGAGAATCACTAACACAAATTTAAACAAAGGATTGGTTTTGGCTCACCTAAGAAACTGATGTTGAAAGGAGATTTGCATGAGACTTTACTTGTAGTGAAGCCAGCTGCAAGCTACCTGCTTCCTAATTTTTTACTGCACTTTGATTTTATTTGAACCCTTCAAAAGTTTAATTAGAAAGTGGCAATTTTATTAAATCATAGATTAGGTAATTTTACAAAATCATAATATAGTGAGATTCATTAACTAATCCTAAAGTAGTATGTGACCATTAATTGTTTGTTGAACTAATTGGCATGTTGTTTAATGAAGATAGCAAGTCTCTCTCTGAATATGCATTTTGGGATCAGTATACATATATTCATTCTATATTTGGGGTATAATTGCATCATTTTTGTGTGTGCTTGTTTTTAATATGCTCAGTTTCATCTTGAATACTTGTTTAATAAACATCTCCTTTATAGAACTTCATTTTCTAAAATAAGCATAATTTTCTGTTGATGAAACTGTGGATACTTGTCTTCAACTGTCATTTTCGGACTGAAAAAAAAAATAGATGATGGCCCAATCTTAGCTGATTAAGGATATCATGTTTTTGCCATTTGAAAATAAAACTGTTCTGTTATCCATGTCTCCTCCAGTTTGATAAAGATAAACAAAGCAAAGATTCAATCTTCTTTCGAGATGGGATTAGGCAAATTGATTTTGTGCTTTCCTATGTTGATGACATAAAGAAAGAAGCGGACTTAAAGATAGTAAGTACTTATGTGAAAGAAATGATAATAATAGAAAGAAACACATTCTAACACAGGTATGTTCCCAATGAATTATATTGCAAAAGTCAGAGGCCTCTGAAGTGTTACCAAAAGTTGAACCTGGTTAAGAAGACTATAAAATAGGCAGCCTAAGAATGAATGTGTAAAATCAGTTTTATTTTTTGGACTAACTTCTTTTTTCTCTTCAAAGTGACTTCTATTTTTATATAGTTTACCTTAAATATTAAATGTTACCTCTAAAATTTGAGTTGTATGTCTAAACATAATCTATATTTTGTATGCAATTTTCATTTGTTTTCATTAATCTATCTGAAATCTCCTTTAGATTATGCTCTGTTCCTTATCTTATTTTTTTTTCATTATAACATGCCCCTTTCTGAATTTACTTTTTTTTTTTACTTACTTGCTGTGTCAAACACTATAAATTAAGTTCATAAGACCAAAGACTTTGTCTTGTTCATTGCTGTATACCCAAATGCCTAGGACAGTGGTTGAAGCATAATGGATGCTCAATAAATATTAGGTCCTTAATATTGTCTGGCTATCATACTTTATTTGCTTATTCTATTTTGCTCTCTACTTTCCTGGATGACTCTTTTACAACTTTTTCTCTCTCCTTTCACTTCCAATTCCTCCTCCCCATTTCCAAGCTTAGCTTTTCTACTTCTCTGGGAAAGCAGAAGTAAGTAGAAGAGAAGTTCTAAATTCCCATCATAGTTGTCCATTCACCAACATCTTCACCTGCATAATCTATTGTTCTTCCTATTATCATAGAAAACTATTATTCTGCCTACAGCCAATACTTCCACTTGTACCCTGGTTCCCATTTCTTTTTGCCTACTATTCAGGAGTCACCAATAGCACCCCCAGATTTGGTCATTCATTAGAAGGATACACATGCACTGTATATAGTCATATACAATGGCCATGTTTTATTGCAGTGAAATAATATAAATAATGCATAGGGCAAACTCCAGAGGAAACCAGGTGCAAACTCACAAGAATTTTCTTTCAGTGGAGTGGTATAGAATGCACTTAATCCCTTGGGTAACATGTGAAGTGTGTCTACTAGATTGTCATTAAAAACTAAGTGCCCTAGGATATTATTGAGGGCTGGTCACCTTCTCCTTCTGCCTAGCACATACTAACATGTCATAGTCCCAGATGGAAAGCAAATAATTAGCATAGACTGCATTGTTTGTGTAAACACTAAGGTAAAGTGACCAACTTTTATCACTTCTGGGAGTCATGGGGACCCCCCACCCCCACCAAAAACCAAGTTTCCAGACCTGAGTGCCCCTCTTGCAGGCAGGCCTTTCTAAGAATAACATTTTCAAGACTGATACTAACTTCTCCATATGCTTGCTTAGAAATATTGCTCTTGCTAGTCTTCTCTCTTTTAAATTATATTTTCTGTTATTCTTTCCTGGGATGGGTTTTGTTTTGTCTTTTATTTTGTTTTTTTGTTTTAACAAACAAATGTGCTGTTAATTCTTCCATATTAAAAAAAAAAAAGCAAGAACAAATATTACCACTTCATCTCAATAAAAACAAATAAATAAAATATCACCACTTGGTCTAAATACAAAAATAAAATGTTATTTTAAAAAAGTAAACTCATGATAAATGTATCAGTTAATGAGATGGGCAGAGAGGCTTAAAAAATATTTTCTTGTTCATGGATGAATGAGAATTATTCCTAGAATGAGGTGGTTCAGCTTTGACTATAGCCCTGTTTTGTTTTTATATACGTTAGTGTTAGTTAAGTTTGTCTAGATCAGTGTTTCCCAAACTTTTGACATATGTGTATCCCTTCTATAATTTTCGTAACACTGAGTATCCCTTGTATTCATGAGAATGTAGAATTAGGCGCAGCTAAGCACGGTGCAGTGCATATCCCCACCAAACTCTGGTGCAATGCTTACCCCCCCAAACTCTTCCCATACCCCTGGGGGTAAGCGTACCACACTTTGGGAAACACTGGTAGATAAATGAATAGCTTGTAATAAAAAGATTATTGCTCTAGCAATCTTAATCTTTTTTGAAATCCTAATTATACAAATTACAAAGTGATTCATTATAAAAGTAGAGTTTAATAATCTATGAAGAAACAATCTTATTTCCTTGAACTCAGCGAAGCAGTGACTATATCACTTGCAAAAGCATTGTTATTACAATGAGAAAGATTATTCACTTTTTTAATACTGATACAATGTTTTTAAGACTTTTTAAAAATATGTTTTTATTTAGGAAAGGAAAGGAGAGCAAGAAAGAGTGAGAGAGAGAGAAAAAAAACACAGAGAGAGAAACAGAGAGCCAGAGAGAGAAACATTTCAGCTGCCTTCGGAAATCACCACTACCAAGACTCAAACCCGCAACCCAGACATGTGCCTTGACCAGGAATCTAACTGGCAACATTTCAGTGCGGGACATCACTCAGCCAATCAAGCCACACTGTCCAAGACCAGATACAATACATCCAATATATTTAATGTCCCTCTCCTTTTTTTTTTTTGTTTTTGTTTCCTGTTTGTCTTTTTTTGGTAACATGGGAGAAGGTCAACTATGAAAAGGTAGCTGAGAAAGGAGACCTTGCACCATTATCACAGGTCTGTTGTGTGATGTGGTGAACATATAGTAAACATTAGAAGAGGAGGGAAAGGACATATTAAAATAACATGTTCTAGTCCAGTATGGCTCTTTGGTTGATTGTTGACCTAGGAACCAGAAGGTCATGGATCGATTCCTGTCAGGGCTCATGCCTGGGTTGTGGGCTTGATCCTCGTTGTGGGGCCTGCAGGAGGCAGCCAATCAATGAATCTCATATTTTTTGTTTTTTATCTCTCCCTCTTCCTTCCTCTCTCTAAAATCAATAAAAATATTTTTTTTAAATAAAGATGTAAAATAATATTTTATTCCCTGTTAAGTTTCATTACATCTCAAGGTGTCCATTTGAAGATGAGTCTCCTCTAACTTTCTAGCAAAGCCTTTTAAAATGTCTATTATTATGAAATTTTTCACAATTAAATAATAATTAAAACCAGAAGTTTTTTTCAGCAATCAGTGCATACATCTGAAGCCCACAGGTAATGATTAATTGCATTCAATTTAATTTTGCTTTTTCAAAGTGAACATGTTCTGTTCTTTAAGATTAAAAAGTCATGATATTTTGGTCTAAAATTGTATTATCTATCTGATTTATTTGAAGGTTATTGATAGCTTAATGTCTTCTCAACTAGAAGCATTATCTGTTTCTCTATTTTTTGTTGTTATGTAGTAAAGTTTTGTGCATTTTTTTCAGATAGAGATCCTGCACACTTCCTGGAGATTATCCTTAGATATATTGGAATTTTCTAGTTATATTATGGGTTAAAGTCCTGGTGAAAAGCAGCATATAACATTGAGATGGGATACTATGTAGAGTATTTTTATATGAAACCATAGGAGGGGCAGTGGACCGTGGAGGCATCTTCATTATGTAACAAGTCTATTTATCACAGTGTAAATTGAAGTGTTCTGCATAATTCTATTGATTCATTTTTCCATAGGTTAGAAGAAGAAACTTTGAAGAAAATCTCAGAAAAACAGGTCTTGAGTTGGAAATTGAAGACAAAAGGGTAAAAGTTACTTTATACCAGAACCTTGGTGTTAAAATCTGCTTTTCTTCTACTTTGGCCTTTGACTAGATAAACCTTGTCTTGGGAACAATACATTAGTTTTTTGGGGGCCTACAAATGTGTACACTGGGAATGGTAATACCTGTGGTTGCTCAGGTAAGTTGGTTTTTGCTCTGTGGAATGATGAGTGGAACACTTCACAAATAGACATAAATAAATTGTTCAGGATATGAAGAAAGTGAAGTGGTTTTTATTTCCTATCTTTGTCATTTTGAAAGCTGCCTATAATCTGGCATCCAATCTAGTTAGCCTCGCTAATTTGTAGTACAATTGATATTTAAGCTAAGGAACATTTCTGCTCATGAATATGACAAATGTTTTTCTAACCCACTACCATTTACTATTTTTCTAGAATTTCCTTCAAAATTATATTTAAAGCCATATTTAAGTTTCTATTCTGTCTATGAAACCGTAATATTTTCTAGTTCTAAATTAAAACTCATTAGTTTTTATCTATCCCTATTTTTACTGAAGTAATAAATATATATTATACTACACACTCTATAACATAATTATTCTTCTGTTTAATGAATGATTAATGTTTATTATCTAAAGTACTTCCTCTAAGTCATGGTTTGGGATTTGGTGTGGCCCTGCCAAGCCATTAGGAGTGAATTAATTAAATGTTTGATCAAATATAGCAGGTTAATTTGTAAGTTGATTATTTTTTACTAGAGGCCTAGTAAACATAATTCATACATGGAGTAGGTGGGTGTCTCTCAGCCCAGCCTGCACCCTCTCCAATCTGGGACCCTTCAAGTGATGTCCAACTGCCCTTTAGGACCTAAATGGGACATTGGACATCCCTCTCACAATCCAGGACTGCTGTCTCCAACCGCTCGCCTGCCTGCCTGCCTGATTGTCCCTAACCATTTCTGCCTGCCAGCCTGATCACCCCTTAACCACTCCCCTGCCAGCCTGATTGGTACCTAACTGCTTCCCTGCCAGCCCAATCACCCCTACCTGTCCTCCCTTGCCGACATGGTCACCCTCAACTGCCCTCCCCTGCAGAGCTGGTTCCCTCCCCAAGTGCCCTCCCCCGTAGGCCTGGACTCCTCCAATTGCCCTCCCTTCAGGCCTGGTCCCCCCCAACTGCCCTCCCCTGCAGACCTGGTTGCCCCTAACTGCCCTCCTCTGCAGGCCTGGTCACCCCTAAATGCCCTCTCCTTCGACCCAGTCACCCCTAACTGTCCTCCCTTGCTGGCCATCTTGTGGTGGCCATCTTGTGTCCACATGGGGTGGCCATCTTTGACCACATGGTAGGGGGGGCATCTTGTGTGTTGGAGTGACAGTAAGTTTGCATGTTACCTCTTTATTAAATAGGATGGCCCTTGAGTGATGTTATAAATATCCAATGGCCCTTGGCAGAAACAAGAGTGTAGGCCAGTGGTTGGCAAACTCATTAGTCAACAGAGCCAATTATCAACAATACAACAATTGAAATTTCTTTTGACAGCCAAATTTTTAAAACTTAAACTATATAGGTAGGTACATTATTATTAACTTAATTAGGGTACTCCTAAACTAGCCTTTGCTAAAAACTCAAGGGGCCAAAGAGCCACATGTGGCTCATGAGCCGCAGTTTGGCAACCACTGGTATAGGATATACATGCTCTAAGTTTAGGCTATACATAGAAGTTAAGAAAAAAGAGTGATTGCATCTTATACTTCCCAAGTGTTCCACATATACCCTAAGCACAATTCTGAGCAAATAGCTAGTTGCTAAATCAATACTTAAGAGATTGCCTAGACACATATGCATCTTTGGATATCAGGCTAGTATACATTGACACTGAAATATATATTTTAAAATATTATCTCTTTACCTCTCTCTGTCTTTCTCTCTCTCACACACACACAAAGACACACACACTATCCCCCAAAAATGTATCTATATTTTACAGCTGATAACTCAATTGATGTTTCTTTTCAGATTTAATGCATTGAAATTAATAATTACTCAAAATGTGTATGCATTTTTGGGACACCTTCTATGTAAAAATATATATATATAATATTTTATATGATATATTTATAATATTTACATATATAATATATATAATATATTATATAACTATTTTGAGTATTTGCTCTTCTAAAAGTTTTGCTGAATTTCAGTAGATTGAAAAATGCTGTGATATCTTTAATTTGTGTTTTTATATAATTCTGTTTCTTTCCTTAATTAGTTCAGTAATAAACGTATTAGTAAGCTTTCTTTTATTTTGACTCTTTTTATATAGAACTCTGAAGATGGAAGAACTTACTTTGTCAAGATCCATGCCCCTTGGGAGGTATTAGTTACTTATGCTGAAGTGTTGGGAATGAAAAAGCCTATTAAAGAGAATGATATCCCCCGACCAAAGAAAGCCCCCTTTAACTTCATTCTTGGGCCTCTGAAGCTCCCAAAGAATGTGATGCATCCTAAACCGGAATATTTCACTGTCCAATTTACCAGACATCGCCAGGAACTCTTCCTCATTGAGGACAAGTCAAGCTTCTTTCCATCCTCAGCAAGAAACAGAATTGTAGGTAGAGAAGCCATCTGGGGATATCCCTTCCAGTAAGGGATGTGTGCCTGTTTGCTTTTATATGTGTGCATGGGTAATAGTGTGTCAGCAGGTGCTTCTGTGAAAATGTTGATAATGTATTTAGTGGTATTGGGCATGTTTGAAATTTCACGTGGTCCACTTAAGTATGTTAACCTCCCTACTTCTCATACTGTTGTTTAAAATAGAATGGTGGACATTGTGGACATAGTAAAGAAAGAGACATCATGTAATGCTGGGAAAGGCATTTAATTGAGAACAGGACTTAGATTTTTATGAGATCTTTGCAAAGTGGCTTTATGATCTTAGAGTTTGGTTTTTAAATTTAGTGCATAGTTGGAGGAACACTGGTTGTTCCAAATAGAAATGGAATGCTTTGTATATATTTAGCATTTGAGAAATCACAGAACTTTTTCTTTCATTAAGACCATCTTTAGTCTTTTCAATAATAATATTTCTTCTCCATTTGTAGTCCTAGGTTCTTTACATTCACCATTAAAACCTCTCTTCTAAAGAATCACATTTCTGTGCCATAGTTTCTTTGTGTTAAGATAGGAGTAATATCTACCTCTCATTACCTTGAGAATTGAGTTTATGTATGAAAGGCTTTAACAATTTCTGGAACATAGTAAGTGCTCAGTAAGTGTTAGATATTATTATTATTGGTGTGATTTTTAGAGGGGGAAAAATGCAGGTTGTTTCTCTGTTGCATGTTAATGTAGTCACCAGAGTTCTAACAATCACAAGACCCTTCCCTTGATTTTACTTACTGTTTCCCTGAGCAATTGGAGACATCATTCCTTTTAGGTTCAGTACTTTTATGTGTCTTAGAAGGATTTAAAAATAATAACTGTCTAGCCGAGACCGGTTTGGCTCAATGGATAGAGCCTCGGCTTGGGGACTGAAGGGTCCCGGGTTCGATTCTGGTCAAGGGCACGTGCCTTGGTTACGGGCATATCCCCAGTAGGGGGTGTGTAAGAGGAGCTGATCGATGACTCTCTCTCATTGATGTTTCTAACTCTCTATCTCTCTCCCTTCCTCTCTGTACAAAATCAATAAAATATATTATAAAAAAATAATAATAACTTTCTATTTTCTACTTCTATTTTTTAATAATTCACTGACAGAAATATTAAAATGAAATGCCTAGAATTAATGTACATATAATATAGGTGTGAATCTACAAACTAGAAACTGTGTCCCCTTTCCTACCAGGATTAAATAACAACAACAAACCTAGGAGGCAGCTATACGTAAATAAATAAAGAGCACATGGCATGGAATCAGAAAATCTGGTTTCAGGTCATGAGTCTGCTTCTTTCTAAATGTATAACCTTTCTTAAAATAGAGATAATGATAATACTGGAAATATTGGGAGAATGAAATAGAAGAATGTAGGTGAGACACTCTGTAAACTATAAAGTATTTCAGATATCCTTGTTACATTGAAAAGTTGCTAACAAAAGACAAGTGAAATATAGGGACCAATTAGGAACTTGATCAGGAACAGAAATGTCAGTATTCATTCATCTTTAGTTGTTAGTAAAGAGTGTCAGTACCTTAGGTTAATTTAGTTTTAAAACTCAACAATTTCCTCTCATAAAGCAATGCTATTCTTGCTCTGTTGAGGAAGTTATTTGGGAGGTTAATAAAAGCAGAAAAGTCCTTTCCTTACTAACTTCATCCCAAACACTATAGTTTATGTATGTACAGATTGAACAAGAGCATTTACATTGGTATAGAATTTCATCCTTTTAAAAATATATTCACAATCATGTGACATATACCCCTCACAATCTTCATTTTGAAACATCTTATTTAAATGTCACATAATTCTATTAAACATTTCCACTTCTGACAGCCATTGAGTTTATTTCCAACTTTTCTGATATTACAAATAATTCTGCCCTTTATAGCATAGTATTTACATAATTTCAACATATGTAAATTTTTCTGCAAAATGGATACCACATAAAATTTCTGGATCTAAATGCACACACATTTAAAATTTTATACATACAGCATTGTCCTACTTTATAAAAATATGTACTAATTTAGAATCCTAATAACATAAATAGACATGAACCCACAAGTCATAAATGTACATCTCACTGAGTTATCACAAAATGCACAGCCATGTAACTACCACCCACATCCAAAGAGAAAATCTTTCTAAAATCCCAGAAGCCCTAGTGCCTTCTCCCAATCACTATTCCCATTCTCCAGAGCAGAGATCAACTCTTAACTACTCACAGCAGTGATTAGTTTAAATTAAAAGAAACAAGCATTTATCTCAGCATTTACTTGGATGGTTAACTTAGCTTTGTATGAGCTTTTTTCCACTTATTTGTGTTGTTTCATATGGAAATTGTTTGTGTATGCATTATTATGATTTTAATTTGCATTTCTCTGATAGGAAGGAGATTGATCTCAGTGTATATGTTTTTTGGTCATATAGATAAAGCATTTCTATGAAATCTTTGCTAAATTCTCTTGTCTGCTTTTAAATTAAGTCTTCCCTTGTTGATTTAACAGTAACAGTAACAACTGTTTATATATTTCCATTCATTTCATATTTTATTGATCTTTTCCTACTTGGTGCTTCTCTCTCTTTTTAATAGTTTTTCTTTGTTTTGTTTTTTAAATATATTTTTATTGATTTCAAAGAGGAAGGAAAAGGGAGAGATAGAAACATCAATGATGAGGAAATCATTGATTGGTTGCCTCCTGCTTACCCCAACCGAGGATCGAGCCTGCAAACCTGGGCATGTGCCATTGATTGAAATTGAACCAGGGACCCTGTAGTCAATAGGGTGATGCTATCCATTGAGCCAAATCAGCTAGGGCTGAACAGATGTTTTTAATTTAAGTGTAGTCTTCTGTCTCAAGCCTTTACTTTATGAATAATGCTCTTAAACTTTACCATCAAGTTTAACTTCCTACATTAATTAGGAAGTTAATTTCATGCAGTTAATTTCCTACATTATCTTCTAGTAGTTATATTATTTTGATTTTTACAATGAGAACTGCTATGTACCTGGAATTAATTTTTGTGTGTGGTGTGAGATGAATCTATTTCCCCCATATGTATAGTCATTTTACTTGCTCCAATTACTGAAAACACTCATTCTTTTTTAATACTATCTTACTATTCTACTTTTATTATAACTCACATATCTATGTAGGCATGGGTCTTCTGAGGGGCTTGATTCTTGCCTTTGACCTCTTTGTCTATTTTTTTTTTATCAGTGCATATAATGTTGAACTTTTATCTGCATTCTGTAGCCCTGGAAAACAGGGACACTTAAAGAAAACCCCCACTCTTCTCATTCTGAGAAACTGCTTGCATAGAGAACCACCCTCCCTCATATGACTTAAAGAATATTCATAACCCCCACCTCCTAGTCTGATTTGACAAAACCATTTGCCATGTTGTTCATCCCAAATTCAATTGGTAATTAAAGTGTTCATCTGGGTTAATTGTCTTCATCCAAAAATATAAAATTTCTTTTATTTTTTTTTATTTTTATTGATTTCACAGAAAAAGGGAGAGGGAGAGAGAGAAAGAGACATCAAGGGTGAAAGAGAATCATTGATTGGTGGCCTCCTGCATGCCCCACACTGGGGATCGAGCCCACAATCTAGGCATGTGCCCTGACTGGGAGTCAAACCACCAGCTCTTAGTTCATAGATTGATGCTCAACCACTGAGCCACACCAGGTTGTTTCATTGTATTAGTTCTTGGTGTACTAGATTAACTTTAAATATCTGAAGTCCCACACAATTTTTAAATTTTACATTTGGCTGGCTTTTTTCCTATTTGTCCGAAGTACAACCTATTTTAATTGAACTCACCCCTACTAAATACTCAGTTTAAGAAACTAATATAAATAATGATGATGTAAATAACAATAGAAAGGGTAAGATTGAATTGACAGACATTCAAGAGCAGAAGAGACCGAAGTCTACAGTATATACAGAAAACTGATATAAAGATATGAGTTGATTGCACACTAATTATGGAGAGATGATCATCTGTGAATAAATTCAGATAAGAGAGAAAATAAACACCAGAGTAATTAAATGAAGAAGTATTTGAGACAGCTTGTCCAACTATCAGTTTTACTCTATATTCCCCTAATTGCATTTTTGGTGGTGACATTAGAGTCCAATTGAAGCCCTAATTGTTGCAGGAATTCTGGCACAATAGACTTCCAGAGGATTGTGGGAGAGGAGAAGCAAAATAAGTTATGATTCACTCTTTACTCTCCCTAAGGGAATAGAAGGCTCTCCTACCCAGGAGCTGAAATACCTGCAAACTCATATAGTCCCACCCTCCACTTCTTCCCCCAAACAACGAAGGGAATGTTTTTTCTGTAATCCGAGCCCCTATCTACATTCAGACAAAGTAGACATTTTTAAATTGTTGTTGACAAAAATGTGGAAAGCATAGTCATGAAATGTATGCCTCTTTATGCTTATCTTACAGGTTTATTATATTCTTTCACGATGTCCTTTTGGCATAGAAGATGGGAAGAAAAAGTTTGGGATTGAAAGACTGCTGACTTCTCATGCTTATTCATCTGCCTATCCACTCCATGATGTAAGTCTTAGTTTGGTTTTGAGATACTGAGCCCATTTTCCTCTTTATACATTCAGAGGTTGCCTTATTGAGAGAATCTTCCCTTTGCTTTCTTTCTTTCTTTCTTTTTCTTTTCTTTTTTTTTTTTTTTTTGAAAGGTTGCTTAATTCTCTCATGTGTTGAGAAAATCCCCAAAGGTACCCTATTTCCAACCTGAGAGGAGGCAGAGAAAGAATTTATAATTACAAGTACTCAGAAACAAAGTTATCAGCTTTTCACACTGAAGTTTTAATGGAAATAAATTCACTTGGGGAAAATGATTACATTTGCACATTTTTTGGACACATATCGAAAATGCAATTATAGTAAAACATTTTAGAGCAATAATATTTGGAATTTCTATCTGAATTCATCAGATTTTTTACCATAAATTTTTAAAGCAGTAAAAGAGTTAAATTATATGACTGCACTTAATGCATGCATATATTCATTCATCAAAGGAATAATTTGTTTTAAAGCATTGTGTTAGGTATCATTGGAAGACATCAATGAATCACTCATATAAATCACTCATATACTAGGAATTTCTGGGAAATAAAGCATGTACACAACTTCAAAACAAGCTAAAGACTTCAGTACATAAGAAAGATTCAGACAAATAACAAAGTCAGAAGAATTATTCTTTGAGGCCATCCGATCATTGTGCAAAATTATTGAACTTCATAAGATCAACAAGGAAGTGACTTTTTTTATGATGCCCCATTCAACCAAACCTGAAACCTTGACAACCTAGTTCCTGGGGGTCTCTGAGGGAAAACTTTCCTTTTAAATATTACATGTCTAAATATCACCACCCTTGTGAAGTAGATGTCATATGGCTAGACATATATAAACTATTTTGACATCATCTCTTGGAACTTTCACTTCTTTTATTAATGTTTTATTCCTTGATACTTATAGAAGACTTTTTAATGGCATGCTCTCTGTTGGAAAAACACATTCCTTAGGAATATAGAAGAACCAAGTATTTCCATTTAAACAGGCATCTAAATCATTGCTCATGTTTGTGAAGGCATTGTTGTAGTACTGGTTAGTTGATTATCTGTGGTATGGTTCCTATAAGGGTATAGCAGAATTTTCCAAAATGAATACAGTTTTCAACAGGATTATCAATTCAGATGACACCATCCTCCCACCCTTCCAAAGCTTACCCCTTCCCTTCCCCCATATTTTTTCCTGAGACAAAATAAATTCTAGCAGACTATGGATTCTAAAAAAAAGCCATGGGCATAAATAGAGAGATTTATAGTTGGTTAATAAACATTGACAATGCATTTATTTTGTCAATCTTTTTTCGCATAAGGGCTCATTCAGTTCTTTGAAGATTTTGAGGATTGTTTGGTGTTTTTAGGGCAGTAATCCTCTTCCTAATCCCAAGTCATAAAGCCAAACTAAAAAGACCAAATATCCTGTCACCAGAAATGTTAATCCAGACATCTAGCCTTCCAGTGTGCTTATTAGAAAACCAGTGTTACTGCACCATTGTTAGCAAGAGCTTTAATTTACTGTTAATTTTATGTTTTATTTCTTCCTTTTCCCCTGAATTCAAGTTTATATGCTGGATTTTCCTTTTATGTATTTAAAGAATAATTTTTCCAGATACACAGATAGGTTGCTTCTTTTTCTATTTCAGTTTCAAGATTCAGTAGGATTAGCTACAGAAGAAGAAAAATTTGGGGATCTGGATAATATAAAATATTACACATTATCACATAGAGATATTCACATGTGCTTAAGTATAAGTTGGGTATTTATTTATTGCTGTCTTGAGCAGTTCACTTGTCTAGGTGAGCAGTTACAAAGAATGCGTTGAACGGCTGAGTAGGCCGTGTTCTGCTGAGGTGTGTTAATAACCCTGTACAATACCTAACAGTGGAGATAGAACTTAAGCATGAAGCAGTACTGAAGCTAAGTGCTAAAGTTTGTTGTGTAGATTTTAAGTTCTTTGGGAAATGGATATCTGTGCAGACAATCAGGTTCCCTAGAGGGGATTCCTGTCATAGTATCACCCATTTAACTGCTCTTGGGGTTTATCTTTCAATTTCTACAATAAAAATATTAGCTTATTTCTAAAGTCCCAGCCAGGTAGCCGAAACCGGTTTGGCTCAGTGGATAGAGTGTCGGCCTACGGACTGAAAGGTCCCAAGTTCGATTCCGGTCAAGAGCATGTACCTTGGTTGCGGGCACCTCCCCAGTATGGGGTGTGCAGGAAAGCAGATGATCGATGTTTCTCTCTCATCTATGTTTCTAGCTCTCTATCCCTCTCCCTTCCTCTCTGTAAAAAAAAGTCAATAAAATATAAAATAATAAAATAAAGTCCCAGCCAGGTATATAATTCATATGCATCCTGAGCTGTGCTATGTTGGATTTTATGTTGGATTTGAGTAGAGAAGAAAGGGTACTCCTGGTGAAAAGAACAGCTTGAGTAAAGCCAGAGCCTCAAACCTTAAACTTGCATTTTTAAACAATTGGGTGTGAGAATTTAATAAATAAATCACTATTATTATAGATTACTAGAAGCCCGGTGCATGACATTCGTGCTCTCAGAGGTGGGGAGTAGGAGTCCTTCAGCCTGAACTGCACCCTTTAGCAGTCTGGGAACTCTCGGGGGATGGGCGACTGACTGCTCAGGCCCGCTCCCTGAGGGGAGGGGGGCTAAGCCCTAGTTGAACATCCTTAGCATTGCTGCGAAGACATGAGAGGCTCCGCCACCTCCACTGTGCTTGCCATCAGCCTGGCTTGTAGCTGAGCAGCCCTCCCGCTGTGGGGGCGCATTGACCAGCAATGGGTCACTCCTGCATTGAGCACCTGCCCTTGGTGGTCAGTGCACATCATAGTGACTTGTCGTTCTGCTGCTTGGTCAATTTGCATCTGTAATCCTATATTATAAAAGGGTAATTATTATATAGGATTATAGATTTTAGTAAATAATTTCACATTCATTCATTTTCACATGAAAATCCCAGTCTAAAAGGGGTCAAAAATATTTTTATATTTCACTTACCTCCTAAAAGCTGTGTTGGTTTACTTTTCACCCTCAGTTTTTCACTTGGTCATTAATGTACTTTCTTCTTAAATATTTGTAGGGTCAATATTGGAAGCCATCAGAACCTCCTAATCCTACCAATGAAAGGTACATACTTTTCCAGAATTGGGCTCGGTTTTCCTATTTTTACAAGGAGCAGCCTTTCGACTTGATTAAGTAAGTTTCTTACAAAACATCCCACTGATGATTAAAACTTGATAATGTGATTTTTATTTACAGTGGCATTATATTCCATTCTTTTTACTACTATTACCCACTATATTTTTAACACCTTCCCAATTTTGTATCTATGCTATCATTTAGTCATTCCTTTGTGAACACAGTGCTGTTACCAGATGCTACCACCCTGCAGAGATAGCTCAGTGGTTTAGAGTTTGGGCTGGGTTCAAATCTAAGTTCTCCCTCCTAGAAGCTTTCTAAACTTGTTCAAGTTATTTAACCTCTATGATGCCCATTTGTAAAATGGGAATGACTAATAATTTCCTCTTGGCATTTGGTTCTTAAATGAGATAGGAGCTCATAGGAGCTAGCACTTACAGCTTAATACATAACATTTTTGTTTTGTTTTCCTCTCAGTCCAGGAATTTAGAAGATAGCAGAAAGGTTGGGTATATCTGTGTGTGTGTGTGAAGACAATTGCTCTATAATCTCTTTTTTTCCCCTCTTTCATTTTTGGGCTCAGGCAATTGACAAGCGTAGTGTCTGAACCTGTCTGAGTTCCATTCTCTCAGACAATTTCTTAGTTTTATTAGCTAAGTAAGAAGACTATGGCGACAGGCTTCTGCTTTAAACCATTGCAATACTACATACATACAGGATGTTAGGGGCCTCCTGCTATGATTGCAGTAAAGAAGTAATCAGATTAGAACAATTCACTTGGTGATTAATGTTTCTACTGCCATGATAGTACACCATCTTTTTTTAGGAGGCTGATTTTGATGCAAGTATCCAAATCAATTGAAATATTACCACAACAGTTTTCTCTAAGCAAATAAGGGGGAACATTTAAGAATAAAAGATAGCTAGAGTATATAAACTAATGTTTCTATAAATCATTATATGAACTTTATTTCTTGAGACCTTTTTTATTTTCAAGAAATAAGATTATTGCTATTTGAAAGGAAATTGTAATTCTTTAAAAATAAGGAAGTTAAATAAAATTAATAATGACTATGGAAAAAAATTTTAAATCTTCTCATTGGGAAATTAAGGTTATGCCTTTATGGTAAGATCTGCCTTCCTTTTAAAATTATTATAGTTTCATATTATATCCTGTAATAGATTTATAAATAGCACGCTAGTATGAAACTGGAAAGAATTTATGGATTTGGTGAGCTGATCTATGTTCTTAAGTTTCTTGAAGGATTATTTAAGGGTTAGTGGGTTTAAAAAAACAGCCACAACAAAAAGCTTGGTGTCAGATTTTAACATTTATGTCAAGTAATGCTGTCACTCCTCACCTCTGTAAGCAAGAGCTGAACTGTGTATTTTATGGAATTTTTCCTGAGCAGTCACTTTTAATCCTGTGGTGTGCTGCCTGTCTCACAATTCTGTAGTACTGTATCAATCAGAGATCCAAACTTGGGGGAAATTGAGCTTTGTAAAGACAACCACTCTTGCTTAATAGATAATCAGAGTAACTTCTTCAATTTCAGAAAGAGAGACAAAGCACAACTCAGTGCAAATTGTGCATGCCATTTTGATTTGTTAAATTAAGTGCTAGAAGTTACATTGCAGAATGTTCTCCATGCAAAACTCCTTAAATTTAGAAACTTTTCAAAGAGATTGTATTATATCAAAATTAAAACTTAACTTTCAGTTGGCTTCGTACTTAGATATGCTATTAATCCTTACACCAATTCTTTGGATAAACATCATCCTGCATTTTATGGCATGGAAGCTAAAGTTTAGTAACTTTACCAAAATTATATGTCCAGAAAATTGTGGAGCCAAAATTAGAATAGAGGTTTGTCTGAAAGCAAAACAAAGGCTGTCTGGTTTATGTAATTCTTCCAACCTCTAAGTCTACTTTTATCCTCTTTTACAGGAATTATTTTGGAGAAAAAATTGGCATGTATTTTGTCTTTCTCGGATTTTACACAGAAATGCTGGTCCTTGCAGCTATTGTTGGTTTAGCTTGTTTTTGTTATGGCTTATTTTCCATGCATACTAGCACAGCCAGGTAAGTGCAGCTGAGTTGCCAAAGTAGAGAAAATGCCTTGATCTTATGCTAATTGAAAGTTGTGTTATTATTTTTCCTGGGGCATTTGTTTTTCGAATGTTTTCTTTTGGCAGCAGATGAGTGATGTTTCTGAAAAAAAGATCCAAGCAACCACCCTCACTAGGTGCTTTATCAAAAATCTGTCTTTAAGGACTAGTTCTAAAGATTCTGCTCTTCAAAGCATAACTTGAAGAAATTGCTGCTTCACTCCCCCTTCTGCCATATGAGAAGCTGTGTGAAAAGTTATTCTGATCAGAATAGCTTTAGACTCTCACCCAAACACACATTATTTTTAAAATAACTTTGCTGTTCCTTCTGCAGCGTTGAAGTCTGTGATCCTGAGATTGGAGGCCAGATTATCATGTGCCCACTCTGTGACTTATTGTGTGATTTTTGGAGACTAAATTCTACGTGTTTGTCTTCAAAGGTATGTATGTATTTTAGTAAGATGTAATTTCCCTCCTTTTGTATTAGAAACTAAATTGTCTTTGTGATGTTATTTTTGTTTTAACAGGTTTCTCATTTATTTGATAATGAGTCAACAGTGTTCTTTGCAATATTCATGGGAATTTGGGGTGAGTATATAGTCACATAAAAAAATAGCTTTCTCCATGTTATGTGGTATATGGCCCATCTGTGTAACATACTAAAGGTGATTTTAGATACAGATATTTGTATCTAGCATCAATACAATGACGGCTTCCAAATTAGTGGTCTTTGATCCTTGATTCTTGGTCAAAGAAAAAAAATGAAAGTCTCTATTAATCACCTGCTCCTGTCTCTGGGAGACAGCATTGTTTTTAAAAATGTGTTTTTATTGATTTCAGAAAAGAAGGGGGAGAGAGAGAGAGAGAGAGAGAGAGAGAGAGAGAGAGAGAGAGACAGACAGACATCAGAAATGAAAGAGAATCATTGATTGGCTGCCTCCTGCCCACCCCACACAGGGATTGAGCCTGCAACCCAGGCATGTACCCTGACAGGGGATCCAACCATAGCCTCCTGGCCCATGATGGGCAGGCAGAGACAACGTAATTTTTTTAAGCTTCATATGTATTCAACTTACACTGTTTCCCAGAACTGTGGTAAAAAGCAGGGTCAAAAAGTGGTTAATTCAGAAGAGAATAAACAAATATTTGGTGGCTAGAGGATATTGAATCATGAAAACAAACTGAAATAAGAATTTTAAAAATATATAGAGGGCTAATACGTTGGTGTTTGAATCTAAGTTCCCTGCGGCTAATTGTAGTGCCAGCTTTCAGATCTATTTGGTAAAAACTTTCAAATAGATCTGGAAGTAGATCTAAAGTGGAACAGCCCTTAATTTGGGAAATATCCCAGGATATTACATGGGAAGTAGCTTCTATTATTGTAATGAGAACATACAAGATTGACTCTTAGTAACTTTCAAATATATAACACATTATTTTTAACTATAGTAGCCATGCTATATAATTTTAATTATATATCACCCAATATTGCCAATCTTATAAGTGGACATCTATATCTCTTGACCATTTTCAGCCATTTCCCTCACCATCAACCAACCACCAAACTGTTCTGTTTCTATGAATTTACCCGCCCTTTTTTTAATTCCACATGTAAGTGAGACCTTAAGTATTTCTCTTTGTTTGTTTGACTTATCTTACTTAGCACAATATCCTCAAGGCCCATTCATGTTGTTGCAGAATGGCAGGATTTTCTTTTTTAATGACCAAATTATTACTTCATTCTTTATATAAACCACTTTTTCTATATCCATTCATCCATGCATTGACACTTAAGTTGATTCATTACTTCACTATTGCAAATAATGCTGCAGTGAACATGAAATACATATGTTAAAGGGAGAGAATATGTTATAAAATGGCTTTTACATTTTTCTTAGATTTCACTAAAAGACTAATTTCAGTAAAAGACTGATTTTACAAACAAAACCTAGGTGTTAATAAAAAGTTAAGTTTATTCTTTCAAATTATCTTAATGAAGAGAGAGAGAATAATTAACCTGAATTTTTTTCTTGCATTCTTTAATTGTCTAAGGAATTAACTTGAGATTTTATATATGAGTCATTTTAATGTTATTACATAATTATGCTAATATTAAGAATTTTACAAATTTATCATCAAATAATAGGGACAGAATTGCTATCATGCAACCAAATTGGTGTTTAAGCATAGGGACCCTGGCCTGGTGGTTCAGTTAGTTGGAGCATCAACCTGTACATCAAAAGGTTGTAGATTCGATTCCCAGTAAAGGCACTTACGTAGCTTTCGGTTCAATTCACAGACGGAACTCCAGTGGCAACCAATGAATAAATCTCTCTCTCATCTATGTCTGTCTTTCTGTCTATCTGTCTGTTTCTCCCTTTTTCTCCTTTCCTTTCCTCTTTGTAAAATTAAAACATACCAATAAAAACATATTAAAAAATAGAGGAAAATTGTGTACTTGATTTAGGGTGATGAACACACATATATGTACAGATGACGTAATTATACACTTGAAATCTATGTAGTTTTATTATTATTAACGAATGTTATATCAATAAATTCAGTTAAAATACAATAAATCAAAATAGAGAAAAACTCAGTTATTTTCTTATTCACTGTATGTCTCCATCTCTTTTTAAAAATATATATTTTATTGATTTTTATAGAAGAAGGGAGAGGGAGAGAGAGACAGAAACATCAATGATGAGAGAGAATCATTGATCGTCTGCCTCCTGCACATCCCCTATTGGGGATTGAGCCTGTAACCCAGGCATGTACCCTTGACTGGAATCAAACCTGGGACCCTTCAGTCCATAAGCCTAGGCTCTCACCCCTGAGCGAAACCAGCTAGGGCTCTCCATCTCTTAATTATATTTGTTTTATACTTTGTTTTCCTATAGTCACATTGTTTTTGGAGTTTTGGAAACAACATCAAGCAAGACTAGAGTATGAGTGGGACCTGGTGAACTTTGAGGAGGAGCAGCAGCAGCTTCAGCTGAGGCCTGAATTTGAAGCCATGTGTAAAAAGAGGAAACTTAATCCTGTGACTCAGGTAGATTAGGAAACTGAAACGGGCATCCTATCTCAATGGGCACATTTCTGTAGGTTGTCTCTCAAATAATGATGTCTATTTTAATTTGCCTTTAAGTATTCTCCAACATATAAATCATATAAACTCATTTACTTTTTCCTATATTTCAAACACATACAAAAGTAGATAGACAAGTAAAATGAACTCCAGGGTGGACCCATCACACAGCTTTAATTAATATTAATTCATGGACAACCTTGTTTTTATTTATACACCTATTCCTTGTGACCATTGGATTATTTTGAAGTAAATTTAAGATGTCATATCATGAAAGACATTATTTAAATACCAAGTGCAATTTAAAAAAATTTAAAACAATGTGTATGCTTCTGGGCTTTAAATATATGTATAAGAATATGTATACATGGAACTAAAGTTAATATGCAAAAATTAAATTAGTATTGTATTAAGATAGTGGGCTTACGAGTGATTGTTTTATTCAACTAGTCTCTCTTAATTGATTATAATGGGAAGGTCTTTTTATGCTACTATTTGGAGTGAAAGTCTGTATTTTGGGATCCTTAACTGGCAAACCAGCTATGTATTGACTGAATAATTTGACTTGTTGGTACCTTTTTTCATGTGAAAATAGAAGGTACTTTGCCACCAAACACCAGACTGTTGGCTGCATATTCTTAGAATCCCTACGTTTCCATAATCTGTCACCATAAATGCTATTAAAGGCAGAAAATAAAATGTTTAACACAGTCTCTTTAGAAGCATTCCCTACTCTGTTCAGGACACTATTCTTGCAGCATAATACTCAACATTCTTTACATAATTTAGGCATTCATTTAACATTTATTAAATTGCATTGAAACATTACAAAATTCAATAAATGAAAAAAGGGGGAAGAAAACCTAAGAAAATACATTAACAATTTGAGTGAAGTTTAGTTTGAAATTATAAAATTATATCATCCTATCTAATAAAACAATAATATTCAAATTAACCATCATTCTGCTATACCCACAAGCCACACCCATCAGCCAATCAGGAGTGAATATGCAAATAAACCCAACCAAGATGGCTACGGCCACAGAGAGCAGGAGGAAGGCTTGGGTTTCCCCGGCAATGGAGGAAGCCAAGCTTTCTGCCTGCTCTTGCCAGCCTAGGACTCCACTCAAGGCTACAAAGTTTCAATAATAGAAGATACATAAGTCCAAACAAATGGAGGCATCCATGGAGCTGGAGAGAGAAGGAGGGAGGCTTGGGTTGCCCCAGCGGTGGAAGAAGCCAAGCTTTTCACACACCCTGGCTGGCCCAGGCCTCCACTTAAGGCTATAAAAATTATAGAAGATACATAAATTCCAACAGAAATGGCTGCCACCACTGGAGTGAGCAGAAGGCTTGGCTCCACTACAGAGTTTCAATTGTAGAAGATAAATAAATTCCAGATGCCAGGGCCTCTGCTTGGGTCATCAGGGGGCGTGGCTGGCCTGCAAACCACCACAGGCCCCTTGCCCAGGCTGTCCCACACTCCAAGGGAACCCCCACCCTGATCTGGGACACCCTTTAGGGCAAACCAGCTGCCCCCACCCATGCACCAGGCCTCTATCTATCTAATAAAAGAGTACTATGCAGATTGACCATCACTCCAACACAAGTTGGCTGCCCTCATGTGGTCAAAGATCCTGTCTCCATGTGGTCACAAGATGACCACCACAAGATGGTCAGCAGGGAAGGGTAGTTTGGAGGGACCAGGCCTGCAATGGACAGCAGTTAGGGGCAATCAGGCCAGTAGGGGAGGGACCAAGCTTGCAGGGGAGAGCAGTTAGGGTGGGGGAGTGATCAAGCCTGCAGGGGAGGGCAGTCTGTGGTGACCAGGCTGGCAGAGAAGGGAAGTTGGGGATGACCAGGCCTGCAGGGAAGGGCAGTTGTGAGGGATCCAGGCCTGCAGGGGAGAGCAGTTGGGGGCAATTGGGCTGGCAAGAAAGAAGTTAGGCATCAATCAGGCTGGCAGGGGAGTGGTTAGGGAGTGATCAGGCTGGTAGGCAGAAGCAGTGTGGGGAAATCAGGAAGGCAGGCAGGCGAGCAGTTGGGAGCCAGCAGTCCTGGATTGTGAGAGGGATGTCTGACTGCTTGTTTAAGCCCAATCCCACCAGAGCCTCAGATTGGAGAGTGTGCAGGCTGGGCTAAGGGACAACCCTCCCACCCCCATGCACAAACTTCATGCACCAGGCCTTTAGTAAGTGATATTTTCAGATTAAGGATATTATGTATATCTGTAGGGGAGCACATGAAACTCGATTGGAAAGTTTGTAAGGAGGACATTCTGAGAAAAGGGAAGTGTGTAGAAGGCCACCTGCCCTGTTTATCGGGAGTGCCAAAGGCGGTGCCCCTAATTATTCCTTGATCTTTCCAAACATGTCTGTGCAGGAGCAGATGCCACTCCCCACCCCCTGCTAGGTGTTTACTGGAATCCTTATGCTTAATCCCTGGATGCCCTTGCCCAGAGGATAATGTAAAACATGTGTCCTCTCAAGAGTACTCACCCTACTGATTGTATCTTAAAGGTAAACTTTATCTCAAACTGCTGTTATAATAAAAGGCTAACAAGGCAGGCAATGGAGGCTGCCTGGTACCTTTGGCCAGGCCATCCCTTAGCCCTCTCTTTCACAGTAAAACTGTGTCAGATTAATCTGTTCATCCATCATATATCTATTCATATTCCATGGGATAATAAGAAAATAAAGGCAGGCTTATAGGCTTTGCCAAAAATTTTTGACATGAAAGCCACAGGTACTGAATGATTACCTTTCAAACCAATTGAATAAAACAGTATGTATTGGTTTACTGTGAATTATCCACATAGTTGTAATGGGTTTCCATGGAATGGCTTATTACTTAGCTGTAATTATCCACTTAGCTGTAATCAGAATTTTTTTATTTTCTGTGCTTTATTAGTGGTTAAGTACAACCAGAACTGGCACATTTGATTCCATATTGGGAACACTCATTCATATGTTTGACATCCACATACATGCACACATCCTGCCGTTCAGTAGAGCTCTCAGACCATCTACTCTACTGTTGATTTCTGTTTCTACTCAGTCTGCCCTGAAAAACATACCAAAAAGTGCAAAATCTTCTATTTTAGATAAAATTATATGATTTAGGTTTCTGCTTTTTTTTTTTTTTTTTTTTTTTTTACTATATGGCAGAATTATTTGGGGTAAAATATAACTTTATGTAGCTAAGAATGTTAGCTGATATAATTAATATCTTCCATTAATGACTTAACAAGCATAAAAATGGAAAAGTCTGGGCCCTTGAATTTTGTGAAATCCTATAAATATAAAGAAGGCATCCTATTTAATATCATGCAGAGCAATTACAGAGCAATGCAATTCAACTTAATTCATTTGAGTTAGAATCCTATATAATAAAACCTATATATAATGTGCAAATTGACCAAAGGGCAGAATGACAGGTCACTATGATGCAACCACCGGGGGAAAATGCTCAATGCAGGAGGTGACCCCTGGAGGTCAGTGTGCTCCCACAGCTGGAGCACTGTTCCTTAGCACAGTTCCAGAAGGATGTCCCCCCTCACCACCACCAGGGAATCAGGCCTAAATCAGCAAGCAGACATCCCACTGAGGAGTCCCGGACTGCAAGAGGGTGCAGGCCAGGCTGAGGGACTGCCCCCCACCCCTAAAACCAGTGTTCGAATGTTGTGTGCCAGGCCTCTAATAAAATTAAGCCATCATTAAAGTGTCTACTTAGGAAACTGCCCTCAGATTTTGATTTTATTTCCTAACTACTTGAATACCACTCTAATTCAACATCCAGGAAATAGTGTGTACCATCATGTCCTATATCACATGTAAAATGTCTCAGCTAAGAGCCCTGAAGTATTCTGTCTAAAGGGAAGGGACCAATACTAAAATGTAGCCTCCAGTGAGTTGGAATGGACCCTTTTGGGAGGTTTCTTATTTAACTGAGCTTTGTGATTTTTGACTACTTGGAATCCCAAAATTGTGGGTAGATTCTGAATTTTGCTGTGATTTATTCAAAATTATAGGAGCTGGAGCCTCACATGCCTCTGAAGAATCGGGTTCCATGGTATTTCTTATCAGGAGCCACAGTGACATTATGGGTAAGCATTAAAAACAAAACAAAACAAAAAAAATCTCTTATCAGTGTGACATGCAACCACTGCCAGTGTGTATTTCTCGGCATCTAGAAGGGGTTCAGGAATCTAGAGAAGGTGCTATGTGTAAATTAATATTGAGTCCAGAGATGAAATATAATTTTGGAAAGCATTTGGGAGGCCAGAGGAGCTTGGCTAAGGAAACAAGTTCTCCTGCCTCTCTGGACCCCTTGCTTTTTATTAACACAAATTGTCCTAAGGTAGATATTCATATCAAAGAGTAAAGTTTAATATACAGAATCCATTGTGAGGTTGGAGGAACTGCCTAAGACTGCTCAGGTGTTTAGCCAGTAGGAGGCAATAACATGTAGATTGAAATGCCCTCAGCATCTGGCAGCAAGCAATCATTTATGCATCCATTTCAGGTTTGGGGAAATGCCCTCAGCCACTTCCAACAGGCAACAACATTTGTGATTCAGCCCTTGCTGAGTCCCCAAGTTCCATCCACCTTTTGACGAAACTCTTGCATTTATGACATGCTGGAATTAGCTTCAGGCAAGTCACATTAGGATTATCTCAACAGTTTAATCTGAAATAGCTCCAAGTCCCTTCCTTCCTTTTCCCTCTCCAGTCTTTATCTTGAATAGACCTCTTATATAAAATAAACTGTAATTTACATGGATGCACCATAGTTGAAACTTGAAAAAATAGTTGGGAGGAGAGAGAGATGCTTTATCTTAGATCCTGTCCCTCCTTTGTTCCCAATTTGGTTGCAGATTATTTGGCTAGGTTTTTTTTGTTTTGTTTTGTTTTTTTGTTTTGTTTTGTGTGTGTGCGTGTGTGTGTGTGTGTGTGTGTGTGTGTGTGTGTGTGTGTGAGTTTTAATATATTTTATTGATCATTTTACCGAGAGGAAGGGAGAGGGATAGATAGTTAGAAACATCAATGAGAGAGAAACATCCTAGTAAGGGGTGTGCCTATTGCACACCCCTTACTAGGATGTGCCTGCAGCCATGGACCAGAATCGAACCCGGGATCCTCAGTCCGCAGGCTGATGCTCTATCCACTCAGTCAAACTACAATTTCAGTTTTGTGTGTTTTTGTTTAATCATTAGTTTATCTTTATCTCCACTTAAAATATTTGCACAAAGAGAAGAAAACAAAAGAAAAATGTTATTTCATCTACTTGAAGAATTTAATCATCATATCCCATTTTGAGGGAATCAGATGTTCACCATGCCTTTTAGCTAATGGAATCCTCAATCACCATAATCTATTCCCTGCTCTCCCTTTTCCAAATATGTTCATTTTACAGTTAGACATTAATTTTAGAAGAAGTATGTTACTCTCTGAGAGTTTAGCATGTTGAAGTATAAAAAACTAGCAATTATAGACTATAGCTTAACTTCACCAGCCCATAATTTCTTACCTTTAACATTTCTTATCGATATTGACTTTTCTATTTTAAATTTGCATTTTCTTAGATAATATAAAAATAATTAAAGAATGACCATAGAATAAAGGAGGTGACAATCAATTTGGAACACTACTGCAGAAATATTCTGAAGTGGTGTTCCAGAAAGATTATTCTGTCTTTTATTTCTATTCAATTTGGTTCAATTCCTCAAATTTCAAAGTAAAATTCTCCAATCATTGATATAAAACCACCCCCAGATCTTTGTGTGTGTGTGTGTTTTTTGCAATATTGGAAGTATGCAAAATTTATATCAAACAGATGCAAATATCTAAACTGTCTGGTTTAGCAGGTTACTAATGGTAATATTCTGAGGGGAAATGAAATACAATCTTTAAATGTACTTTTCTTGGGAAAGTAAGTCATCTTCATGCTACATGTTTAACTACAATCTAGAGCAGAAGTTGGCAAACATTTTTACTTAAAAAGGCCAGATGTATTTTAGGATTTGTGGGCCAGTCACTGGCACATAATTATCTTTATTTTTCTTTACAACCTAAAAAAATGCAAAGCACATCCTTTTTTAAAAAAAATGTTTTTATTGATTCAGAGAGAGGAAGGGAGAGGGAGAGGGAAATAGAAACATCAATGATTAGAGAGAATCATCCATTGGTTATCTCCTGCACGCCCCTTACTGGATATTGAGCCTGAAACCTGGGCATGCCCTGATTGGTAATCAAACAATGACCTCCTGGTTCATGGGTCTATACTCAACCACTAAGCTACACCAGTCAGGCAAAACAATTCTTAACTCCAGGGCCATGCCAGAATTGGTAAGACCACAGGCAGAATTTGGCCTTCTGGCTAGTTTTTCTAACTTTTGCTAGTGTGTGAACCATGAATACTTTTCTAGTTTAGACTTACCTTGCTACCATATGCCTAACCACTAACCCTTTTACCTTACCATTGTTCATTTCCTGCCATTGGTGTTGAGAGAGACTTGGTTTTCTTTCCATGTCAGAGATGCTAAGCATAACAGAATGAAATGAAAAGAACAGTGTTACAGATATAGTATATGCAGCACAGAGCTACAAGGACCAGAGTGACCAATTCTGTTTTCCTTCTGCAGATGTCTCTTGTCATTGCCTGTTTGGTGGCTGTGATTGTGTACCGCCTGTCAGTCTTTGCTACATTTTCCAGATTCATGGAAAGTGTAGCATCCTTAAAGCATGTCAAAAGTTTTCTCACTCCTCAGATAGCTACAGCACTCTCTGGGTCATGCTTGAACTTTATTGTCATCTTGATCTTGAATTTCTTTTATGAAAAGATATCTGCCTGGATTACAAAGATGGGTAAGCTGACTGACTTTACTATGGCTCTGAAAAAAAGGGTCCCTAGCAACACTGGACATCCATTATGGATCATCCCTCAATTGCTAATTTTAAGGCAGTTTGGTTCCATAGGTAGACCCATAGCCTGGTACTTCACAATGCCCTAACTGCTATATCCAGGCCATCATAATGGAAGCAAGGGGATGAACTAAAAAGAATTAAGACTTTGTAGATCTCTTTGAGTATTCTTATCTTAATTGCCCTTTCATGGGGCTGGTTGAATCCTAAGTAAAATCCTCACTTTTCTCGAGGCAAAGAGAGTTTTTATTTCATGTGTATGATTTTTAGAACGTATTTGGTTTTTAAAATATCATGAGAACAATCCGCTTCTCCCTAATAAATCTGAAATTTAGTGCCTCTCTTTTCATCAGTGAACACAAGTGCTTTTTCTCATAGAAAAAAAGCTGCTATTTTTAAGTATTTCACTTTTGGGTGTTATCTGCTATGATATTTTTGTTGTTGCTAGCAGAAAAATACAAATAAAATTGAGGGAAGAACTCCAAATTGGAGAGTCATATTTAATGTGACTTCCCAGTGCTCACTCCAGTGCTGGGTGGAAGAAGTGGTCTATTGGGTCACATTGGGTCCCTCAGTGGACAGATTTAGAGGAAGTGCTCCTGGACAAAGAGCACTCAGAGAAGAAGCTGAGGCCTGGAGCTGAGTCTCCGACCTATTTCCAACTTGCTGGGGCAAGATCAGGAGCAATTATGCTCTGTGCTATTCTTCTAGCTCAGTCTTCCACTTCACCTGTGACCACTTCATCTGAGACTCTTTCACCTGTGATGCCTTCACCTTTCCTTGTGACTTTAGGAAAAGTCCCAGTATATTAAACAGAAAATAATCTAGATTCTAAGACACTATGTAATAAAAGGCTAATATGCAAATTGTCCCCTCGACCAGGAGTTACACCAGCAAGCAGGCCAGCCAATCATCCATGTCCCCTCCTCCTAGCCAGGCTGGTTTGGACCCCATCCATGTACGAATTCATGTACCAGGCCTTTAATATATATACTGAGTGGCCAGATTATTATGCATTCAGAGATCATAATTATCTGGCCACTCAGTGCATAGTTAACTAAATATTGGTGTATCATGACCAGAGTGGTGTATTATGACCAAAGTGGGAAATTTCAGCAGGCTCTCAGAAAACTCTGACTAGATATCTACTCATCCCAGTGAAAGTGCATTGTTAAACACTGATGTTTTGTTTTTTTCCTTACCAGAAATCCCTCGAACTTACCAGGAGTATGAAAGCAGCCTAACCCTGAAAATGTTCCTGTTTCAGTTTGTAAATTTTTACTCATCATGCTTCTACTTAGCTTTCTTTAAAGGGAAGTTTGTGGGCTATCCTGGAAAGTACACATATTTGTTTGGTGTGTGGAGAAATGAAGAGGTAAGAACTCTCTTGAGAAGTGAGGTTTGTGGTTTTAATAGCTCAGTGTTAGCCAAATACATTTTTTTGTGCCCAGTACAAACTCAAATTTAATTTAAATTGGAAGAGAAGTATAGGATACTGACTCTGTCTGACGAGAATGTTAGTTTTAGAATTCTGTCATCTAATAGACATCCATGTTCCTTTAGGGCTAGAAGTTATGTTGTGCTTATTGTTGGTATAAAAAAAAAAGAGCTGCAAAATGGAAAAAGTGAGTTCTATATTCCCAAAGACTCCCTGCAAAGGAAGAATGAGAACTCCAAGTATAGCAGAGAGGACTCCACCATGGGTGTGAGTTAGGTCAGATCAGTGGTCTGCAAATAAGGCTGCGCATCCAAATCACATGGAGGAAAATGGCAACTTCTGCCCTAACCCAGACATAAAGATGCAGAATTTTCTGAGAATGAAATCCACAAATGTTTTCTTAACATAGCTGAATCTAATGCAGGTACCCCAGCACTGGTCTATGATTGTGCTTGGACTATTGAGCTAAATATCCCTTTATATCTCATTAGTAACCATGTCAACCCAAACCTTCAGATTCTGATCCTCTGGATTTATTTCTCTGCAAAAATTTTGTCTTTCATCGTTCACTTCTCTTTTCACTCACCCTTTCTAACTAGTGTGACCCTGGAGGCTGTCTAATAGAACTGACAACCCAGATGACCATCATAATGACTGGGAAACAGATCTTTGGAAACATTCAAGAAGCCATTTATCCGTATGTATGACTTACAAGTTTTTGCTTGATTTAAGTAAATGTGGGATTTCCTCTGGAAGAAGATGAAATTCTATTATCATGGTGCCTTTGTCAGCAAATGTTTAAGTCGATGAAAAAGAAACTTCACGTTTAATCAACAGTTGAATGCATTAAGGTATTACAGGCCTTTAAATATGCATGGCTGTTGCCTGAGTTGAAGTTGGAAAGGTAGTTATGGCCCTTTTAGGAAGATTTGTGTGTTATGTCCTCTGTAGATTATTCTGCATGTTATGTATTCACAAATTGAACTCTGTAATAGTATCTATTTTTCATGGATACATTTAGACAAAAATTTGTTATGAATGAAATACTGATACATAAAAGGTTTGCTTTCTGTTCCAAAAGCATAGCAATAACAAATACTTTTTAAAAAGTGAAAACCAAAATGACAGTTTATACCAAATATAAGAGGAAAATCCCCATAGATAAAAAGAGAAAGAATCATAGGCCTGTAATCTTACAAGGTTCCTAGTTAGGAAATGACACTGTCAGGTTTGTTTAGCATCTGTAGTATAAAGTGGGCTAAAAGTGCTCTGTTTATTTATCTTTATTATTGAAAGTATTACAGATGTCTCCTTTTTTTTTTCCCTGTGATGGGAAGAAGCCTGCAACTGAGGTACACATCATTGACAGTAATCAAACCCAGGACCTTTTGGTCCACAGGCGTGCACTCTATCCACTGAGCCAAACCGGCTAAGGCTCTAGTAGAGTCTTAAATGTGATTGTGCACATTCTTTATTTTGTTATTGGTCTTAAAGGGAATGTTTCTAACTTTGCCCTGTTAAGAATGATGTTTGCCCAAAATGTTGGTAGATGCTTGTGATCAGATAGAGGTAATTTCCTTCTTTTCTACCTTTTTGTTATAAATAGGTGCTTAAAATATATCAAATGTATTTATCTGCAGCAGTTGATATGATTTGCTATTCTTAAATCTGTTGGTGTGATTTATTACATTGATTAATAATTTTTTTTAAAAAAATCTTGTTTCTTAAAGTAATCTAACATTATCATTATACTAGGGGCTCGGTTGCACAAATTCTTGCATATTGGAGGAAAATTAATTAGAAGAAATACTTTAATATCACTATTCGCCCTTTCTCCATAATTATAGAAGTGTCAACCAAATTCATGATAGACAATGACAAATTGAAACACACATGTGTGATTGTCGCCAGCAAGAGTTGTATATGTATCGCGCATGCGTGAGTCAACTTAGCCTTTTATAGATATAGAATAAATTTGCTTAATTAGACCTGCTTTCTGATTTAGCTAAATTTTTTCCAGCTGAAGAAAGCACCCCAACTTCTCTTTCAAGTAATTATCACAACACAGCAGTAAATATCAACCCAAAGCAGAATATTATTGTAGATCATGCAGGGAGAAACAAAGGGTGAAATATGTAATGTAGCAGTACTTGACTATATTCTGCACAGTGAGAAAACCTGAAGTTATTTCCAAGGTCCACCATTTCTTCTTTTCAGTCAAGTTTCTCAGCTTTCTAAATCTCTGTTTTCTGGCTAATGAAAAGAAAATAGGATTTCACTGAGTCTCCTATCTACTTACTTTAGGACTTTTGTGAGGATCAAATGAAATGAGGCACAGGAAAACGCTTCACAGGCATTTGGTTAAAGTGTAAATGTTCCCATCTGGATATAAAGCAAGTTGTGTTCACTGAATAAACTGTAAGGAGACTAGTCCCTAGGGAGAGAAAGCCAGGCAATGCTACGTGACATCATTACCCGGCGCCCACGGCAACTGTTTACAGGCTGGCCGTGGGGTCTCGGCAGCATCGGCTGTGATTTGGTGGGCTGTTGCACTAGGGTGGTGGTGGGGCCTGTGTCCCACTTGGGGGAACTGAGTGTTCATTTGTGAGCCAGGTCCGCACTGCTGTTTTTCTGAAAATGTCAAGTGTATGTCATGGCAGCTCCCGCAATGAGCATCTGCCCCCTTGTGGTCAGTGCATGTCATAGCGACCAGTTAGGCAGTGGGAAGGACACAGCATATTAGCCTTTTATATATATAGACTAGAAGCCCAATGCCTGAAGATTCGTGCTAGAATGGCCTTTCCTTTCCCTGGCTGCTGGCACCACCTTTCCACTCTGGCCGAGCTCCTTTCCGCTCAGGTCCCAGAGCCACTTCTTTCTACTACAGCCCCGCCTTCCCAAGCTGCCCAGAGGCCCTGAGAGGCCATGGGTGGGGTAAAATGCCTGTGTTGTTGCCATGGGGATGACGCAAGCATCCCACCACCCCTGTCTCTTTGCACCTATGTATGCAAATTAGCCGCCATATTTGTTGGGTTCATTTGCATATCACTCCTGATTGGCTGGTGGCATAGCAGAGGTATGATTAATGTACATGTTTGTCTATTATTAGATAAGATTTTATTTTTTATATGAATTTAGTTAGGTCATATTTTGCTTAGGACTATTGCATATATTTTCATAGCTTAGATAAACCTCTGTGTTTTTGCTGCCATTTCTATTTCTATTTTAACCAGTTCCTCACTTTCTTGAGTATTCTTCTTAGTATCATGACAACATAAAGAACAGACTGATAAATCTCAGAGGGATGGGGGTGGGGAGACTGGGGAGAGATTAACCTGGGAATTTATATGCATATACATAGCCCTGATAGCAGTGGTTCTCAACCTTCCTAATGCCGCGAACCTTTAATATAGTTCCTCATGTTGTGGTGACCCCCAACCACAAAATTATTTTTGTAGCTACTTCATAACTGTAATTTTGCTACTGTTATAAATTATAATGTAAATATCTGTGTTTTCCAATGGTCTTAAGCGACCCCTGTGAAAGGGGTCGTGACCCACAGGTTGAGAACTGCTAACAAGGGTCGCCTAAGACCCTGATTCTATAACCCTTTTAAAACACTATTTTGTGTGTTTACTTCTCTCACTTCCAACAGCTTGGCTCTGAATTGGTGGAGACGCCGAAAAGCTCGCACCAACTCTGAAAAGTTATATAGTCGATGGGAGCAGGATCATGACCTTGAAACTTTTGGAAGTCTTGGACTATTCTATGAATACTTAGAAACAGGTAATTTTCAACCACTTGTTTGAAGCATAAAGTATGGCTGGGTAAAATAATTTTTTTTCATCTCTTAGTGTTTCTTCCTGCCTTTGGACATAGTAGGTGTTCAATAAATCATTGGACAGTGGATGAGAAGATAGGTGGATGAGTACAGAAAAGACTGGTTCAACACTGACTTTACCCACCAAACAGAATGTAGACTGAAGTTTAGTTTTAAAACATCAATCTTAGATATATTTTGCTTTCAATGGAATGTTAATATTGAACAAAATAAAGATTACTTTTTAGTGCCTGTCTCAAATTAGCTGTTTCTCCTTTTGTTTACCTCTGCGGCAGCTGAGAGAGAATAAGATGAAAAACATTTCCAATGGATAACATATATTTAATTTTTCCTTTACTCCTGCTGAACAGAAGAAGGTTAAAAGCAGTTATTCAAGGGAAACCAAATTGAACACAATAAATTCATAAAATATTCTAAGGATTGAACAGAGATCTTGAGGTAACATTTTAGGAGAGAGTGATGGAGAGACAGCCTGTATAGCTAATCAGAGTGTTTCCTCTCAGTAACATTTCTCTGCTTCTCTGGTTAGACAATTTTTAACTTATTCTGAAGACCCTTAAAATCACAGTGGAATAAATGAGATGGCCTGAATTTGTTACTGATTCACCACTAAAGTACATATCCATGACACATGGATTGAAATAGTAACTTGAGGACAAATAAAAAGATGTTTGTATGTACCTGGCTCCAAATTTAGGTAGTGTTTGCTTTATGGGGTGATCAGGCTATAATTTTTAATTATATAAGTTTCAAATAAATTTGTATGTAAATGCATCAGAGGTTACCACTGAATAAAATATAAAATCAAGGTTTCATAAGATCGACTCCCATTTATTGTGGTATCAATACAATTAATTTACTTGAATATTTTACATACATTATCTCTAATCTTGAAACATCTTACAGAGTAGTCATTATTCACTGCATTTTATTTTAGAGGATCCTGATATGTGGATAGTTTAACTTTCCACTGTCACAAAGAGTTTAAGTAAAGATCTAAAATTTGAACATGGAAAATGTAAGCTGTTTCTACATACTACTTTTCTTAATGTCATACTTCTTGTATCAGAGAAGACAGGAAATGAGGCAATTTGTTCACTTGGTTTAGTAGATGACGAGGCTGATTTTCATGAGAAAATTTTAAAAGAAAAGCTGAAATCCAGAAGTACTCAAGATTCATCTAAAAATAGAGGACCAGTGGAATACTATTTCCTCCTTCAGACCCATTCCTGTATATATTATTATTATTATTATTAATTTTTATCCATGTGGGAAGCCTAGACTGCCAACTGCATGATTTTTTTATTCCAAGCATTGTTGGAAACAAAATAACAAAACGTGTGGAGAAGCCAGCTTACCAAGTGAAGAAAGTAAAACTTATTTAAAAAGATGTCAAGATATCACAAAGAATCGGGACTTTAATGCTTTTTTTCCAGAAAATGTATATTTCTTCTGCTCACATATAATTCATATATACTTCCAAATATTTTCAAAATTAACTTTATGGTTTATTCTCAAATAGCTTGTTTTATACTTTTTTATCTATTAGCTTCTTCAAAACTTAAATAAAGATCCTAATATATAAAAACCTTGGGTCTTAATGGCCAGTAACAACCAGAGGCTGACCAACTGGAAGTCAGTGTTGGCCCCACCCCAAGCAAGCGGTTAGGGGCAGTCAGGCAGGCAGACCAGCAGTTGGGGTGATCAGGTAGGTAGTTGGCCCCTTGCCTGGCTGGCCCCATCCCCAAGCAAGCAGATAAGGACAATCAGGCACAGTGGTTAGGAGTGATCAGGTAGGCAGACCAGTGGTTAGGGGTGATCAAGTAGGTAGGCGAGCAGTTAGGAGTGACCAGGTAGGCAGACAGCCCCTTGCAGGGCTGGCCCTATCCCCCAGCAAAGAAAGAGGGAGGCCCAGGCCAGCCAAGCCATTGCACCCCAGCCTGTTGCCTGCAGAGGGAGGCCACTGGTGGCAGGGGCAGCGCTGCACAGATGGCAAGCAATGGCAGTGACGGGGTGGGGCCAGCTGCCTGCAGCCCAGGGAAGGAATGCCCGATAGGCCCTGATCTCAGGCCAGGTCTAGGGATCCTACCCAAGGGGTCCCAGATTTTGAGAGGGTGCAGGCCAGGCTAATGGACCACCACGAATGCATGAATTTTCATGCACCAGGCCTCTAGTCCTATATAATAAAAGCCTAATATGCAAATCTACCAAATGGCAAAACAACTTGTGGAATGGCTGGTCACTGTGATGCGCACTGACTACCAGGGGGAGTGAGGCTCCTCAACACAGGAGCCTTTCCCAACCCACAAGCCTCAGGTCAGCCAAGGCAGCTGCCAGTAGAGCTCTCCCTGGCCCTCAATCGCCCTGCTGGTCGCCCCACAGAGGAAGGCAATCAGTGACAGCAGGGGGCAGGTCCAGCAAGCAGGTGGTGCCAGGCCAGCCAAGGATGGTGCCAGTGAGGGCCTCTGATCATCCTGTTGGTTGCCCCACAGATTGGTCATGATCACTGGCCAGGCCTAAGGATCCTACCCATGCACAAATTTCATGCATTGGGTCTCTAGTTAATTTGTAAGGCTTATAGTTGAGTACTCTTATATACCCAGCACATGCTGGCTATTGGAAGTATACAAATGAGTCAGTCATATCTCTGATCTGAAAAAGTACTCATATTCGCAAGACAGAAAACATGATTTTCTGGTAAATCTACTATGGCTGTAACAATGTAAAGTCTAGACCAGCATAAGCCTACCTATAGACTACTAGAGGTATTGTGCACAAATTCGTGCACTACTGGGATCCAGCCAGTCCATCTGATGGGGGCCATGAGAGGTGGGCCAGCCGGGGTGAGGGGCCATGGGCATTCTGGTCATTCTTCATTATATAGGATTATATAGGATAATAAAAGACTGTGCTTTAAGAAGAATATATTATCTAAGAAGAATAGATACTTTCTTTAGATAAGCAGATCTCAAAAGAAACAGCAAGGACAGAACTGAGCTGTGCATGCCCTGTTTCTCCTTATTTTAGAAAGCAAATACATCACTATGCTTTTTTATAGAGAGTAGGAACTGGGAAGATGGAAAGAGACCTGGAGTATTTTGATGGTATTGGTCCTTCCAAAATGAGCAAGCGGCAGGAGTTGGGCAGAGTCTTCCCTCTTTTCTACTCCACAATAATGACTTTGCAAATTTTTCTTTTTTCCCTACAGTTATTCAATTTGGATTTGTTACCTTATTTGTGGCCTCTTTTCCTTTGGCTCCTGTTCTTGCTCTCTTGAATAATATTATAGAGATTCGAGTGGATGCCTGGAAACTTACTACTCAGTACAGGAGACCCGTAGCATCTAAAGCTCATAGCATAGGTGTTTGGCAAGATATTCTGCATGCAATGGCTGTTCTTTCTGTTGCAAGTAATGTAAGTGGACCTATTTTGGTGGGGTAACATTGTGTTTTGTTTTCTTGGGGATGGGGAAATGTGAATGATGCTTAGCTCAATCTTTATTTGCATTGATTTCATCTGATGACAATCCGCAAAGGTAAAATATTCCTAAACTTTTATACAGTAAATAGCATAGAGAAATCTGTGACATGGAAACTCTTAGAAATACAAGGAAAATTGTAAAATCACACTCATAAAAATAACATAATACAGTTTCATAACATGTAACAAAATAAATAGGATACAAGTAAAGGTATAGAGGATTTGAATAATACAATTGAATCCTTTTTTTTTTAATAAAGCATCATCCTATTTATTTATTTATTTAAATCTTTAAATCTTTACTGTTGAAGGAATTATATAGATCCTCCTTTTTTCCCTGTTAACATCTTTCAGCCCACTCCCCTTCATCCCCCACCCTAGGCCCTCACCACCCCATTGTCTATGTCCAGTGGTTATGCATATATGCATGCAAGTTCATTGGTTGATCACTTCCCATCTACCCTCCCCAGACTTCCCTCTAAGGCTCAACCTTCTGTTCATGCTTCTATGTCTCTGGGTGCAATTAAATATTGATCATGTGTAGAGTTGTGTACTACAAATAGTATACAACTATTTGCCTGTTATATCTATGGAGTACTTATTAAAATATATAAATAAAAATAAATTCACCTGTCTTGATCAGGTGGCCCAGTTGCAGTTCATTTCCCAGGCAGGACATACATGACTGACCTGGGTTCAATTCCCAGTCAGGACCCAGTCAGGTTTTTCACATCTATGTTTTCTCTCTCTCACAAAATTAAAATTTATTCTAACATTGGGTTAGAATAAAAATATACAAAGAAGAAATTAAATAATAAAGGCACTTAATTAAAATGAAAACATAAAGGAATCAGCTAAAATCACAGGTACAGAAAATTTATAGCCATAAATGCTTTGCCCTGGCCAGTAATAAGAATTAATAAAGATATATACAGGAATAATCAATTTAGAAAACAAACAAAAAGCAATATAATCCTAAGTAAACTCAGAATTGGCTCATTGAAAAGACAAATAAAACAAGCAAAACTCCAAAAATCTCAAACATGTAAAAGAGTTACAAGATACAGGTGAGAATATTGAGAGACTGCTGTGTATATATGTATTACAATAAGTCTCAAATTTATTTGAAAGTATTAATTTTTTAGAAAATAATAACTGCCAAAATTTATTTAGTGATTGAAACCTGAATGAACCAATAGCTATAGAAGTAATGTTAAAAGGTTTTTTTAAAATCTACCACCAGAAATGTAGATATAGAACCAGCTGGTTTAAAGTGACTTATCAATCCTAAAAGAAACATGTTGTTTATACCATTTAGAGCTTAGGAAAAGATGGAAAAATAGCATTCCTATGAAATAAACACTGAAATTAATTGCATTTAACTGGGAAATTTACTACCTCATGGTCTTGTATCTCTCCATTCCCTCCTCACCAAACTCCTCCACACACATGCGCGCACACATAAACATACATACACAAACACTGTCCTAGCTTTTGGATTTGGGAGTTGATCCAGGCAACTGAATTTGTTTAAGGACACTGGAACTGCACTGTGCAACAATGAAAAATGTAGGAAATAGAAAAGCAGAGTGGAAAGAGCATACTCTTTTGGAGACAGGTACACTTAGGTTCAATTTTAACTTAGTTACTTTCTAGCTATGACATCTTGGACTACTAATAATTTATTGTAAATGTGGTATTTCATATTTTAGGCCAAAGACTCTTATTATCATGATTTATAATAGCATTTTGCATCCATATGGCACATGGAACTGGGATTGATACAAATCAGACATTTTTAAAAAAAGATTTTTATTGATTGAGAGAGAGAAAGGAAGAGGGAGAGAGAAATATCAATGTGAGAGAAACATCAACCAGCTGCCTCCTGCATACCCCCAGCTGGTGTGAGTGCCTGGTGGGACCGCAGTATGCAGGAGCAAAGAATTTTCAGTAACCGCCAGAGGCTTGCTCTGATGACAGTGACCAGCTTCCCGCCTTGATCTGGTTCCCACAGGGCAAGCTTATAACTTCAGCAGTGTCCTGACCAGGAATCCAACCAGCAACCCTGGCCACATGGGTTGAACTACACCAGCCAGGGAACAAATCAGATATGTTAAAAACTAGATTGCTTGCTCCTGATCTCCCTCTTGCTTTATCCTTTAGGCTTTTACTGTTGCATTTACATCGGACATCATTCCTCGTTTAGTTTACTCCTATGCCTACAGTACTGATCCCAGTGACCCTTTGAGAGGATATGTCAATAACAGCCTGTCAATATTCCTGATAGCCGATTTACCAAACGCCACTGCACCTTTGGACATACGAGACTTCTCCACTTGCAGGTTTCCTCTTTTTTTCTTAGGCTTTCATTTTACCCTCTAAATGTATTGCTAAGTTCTATATTTCATTCATGCCTTAGAACATAAAGGATTTCCTTGGGACAATAAAAATCCTAGATAAATTGAGTGCATAATTTTAAAATTCACACATTCTATGATTCTGATTTGGAAATGTTGAATGTCCCAAAGTAAGAAAATATTATGGGTAAAAATAATGTAAATTTTAAATTGTTTTTTATTTTCTAAATTTATTGGAAAAATTTCTCACCAACAAATGCCCTTTGATCCCAAGGAGTAATATATTTAGTATAATTAGGTTATACATGCATCTAATCTACTTGACCTTAATTATATGTCCTCAAAATAAGATAAACTGAAAAAGAAGCAAAAATATGATTGCTTCACCATCCATTCTATGTAAAGGGTTTCTTTTATGCAGTGAGTGTGAAATTGGATTTGTAAACCTATTCTTTCTACACTTAGTGTCTTGTATCCGGTGAGGATCTTTTTATTCTAGTATTTAAAGATTTATATGTAATATGTTTATAATATATTATATTATATTATATTATATTATATTATATTATATTATATTACATTATACCACACCGCACCACACCACACCACACCACACCACACCACACCACACCACACCACACCACACCACACCATACCATACCATACCATACCATACCATACTAATGGGCCCAGTGCACAAATTTGTGCACTTTGGAAAGAACTGTGGGCTGCAAGGCTGTGGTTGACACAGGGGTGGGTCTCAGCCCATCCTCTGCATCCTCGCCCGGCCCCTCCAATCTCGGTCCCTGGTCCAATAACAGTGCCAGCCCCGCTCACACCCGATGATGACACAGGGCAATTAGGGCCTGCACCAGCAGCAAGTGCGAGCAGGGCCAGCATCATTAGTATATGGGAGCAGTAGCTGCTGCCCCAATTGCCCCTCAGGAGCAGGGGAAATTGGGGCTGGCAGCCACAGTTCGCACCTGCTGATGGCGCCGAGTGATCAGGGCCAGCGCTGGGCGTCAGGAGCGGGTGCAAGCAGCAGCTCCACGCTGGCAGCTGGTGTGAGTGCCTGGTGGGACTGCAGCATGCAAGGAGCAAAGAATTTTCAGTAATCACCAGAGGCTTGCTCTGATGACAGTGACCAGCTTCCCACCTTGACCTGGCTTCCACACTCACCTGCTCTACCATCCCACCACAGTTGATGCCTGCCATGTTCCACACATGCCCCCCTGGTGGTCAGCACACATCATAGTGAATGGTTCTTTGGTTATTTGGTTGTTCCACTGTTCGGTCTATTTGCATATTACTATATATATATATATATATATATATATATATATATATATATACTCTATTATATTATTCTTATATATATACTCTATTATATTATTCTATACTGTATTGATAGAATAAACATTAATACCCCTTAATTCTTAAACCAATTGGTTCATTTTGGATTCCAGCAAAGAAACAGCAAAATGTTGCATCACAGGTAGACAGAAGCATTATATGTTTCATATTTGCATCTAGAGCAGTGATTCTCAGCCTTTCTAATGCCACAATCCTTTAATACAGTTCCTCATGTTGTGGAGACCCCAACAATAAAATTATTTTTATTGCTACTTTATATCTAATTTTGCTACTATTATGAATCATAGTATAAATATCTGTGTTTTCCGATGGACTTAGGTTCTACAGCAGCAGTTCACAACCTGTAGGTCATGACCCACAGGTTAAGAACCACTAGGAGGATCGCCTAAGAGCATCAGAAAACACAGATATTTATTATATGGTTCATAACAATAATAAAATTATGGTTATGAAGTAGCAACAAAAATAATTTTATGGCTGGGGATCACCACAACATGAGGAACTGTATTAAAGAGTCGCGGCATTAGAAAGGTTAAGAATCACTGATCATTCTATCCATCACTACCCATTCATTGCTCTTGAAAAATGAATCTGAGACTAATCTAGAGGAATCATAACATAGCCTTTAAGAGCATGGACACTTGTGTTGTATTTCATGATGTCATCGAAGCACATCAATCTCTAGGGACTTTGTAGAAAACAATGAGCTCACAAAGTTGAGCACTAAGAACACTCCAGAACAATAGTAAGGAATAAAACCCAAATAATACAATGCAGTGTCAGATAAGCCAAGAGAAAAGAGAGTTTCAGGAAAATAGTAATAGTTAATAATGTCACATTTTATTATTGAAATATACAATAAGATGAGGATTAAAATGTTCCTTGAGTTTAATGACACAAATGATTTCACCGGAGTGATGGGCAGAATGACTAGTGTTAAGGGGTAGGAAGGGAGGGAATGGAGATGGCAATAACTGTCTGTGAAGGACAGGAGAGAAGTTTCACTTATGTCTCCTGCTACCTCTATACTATATGTGAGCAATATTTGGCCATGACTTTCATCTGTGCAAGGAAGATAAATGTTTCATGGTACCAGTTATCTCACTGTGACTTGAGTTTTGAAGTCAATTAAAAGAGTCTCTTAAGAGGTCTATTTGAATATTTTTGTATAAATATTTTTCAGGTATAGAGATTACAGATTTCCCCCTGGTCACATAGATAAATACTCTCATAATATGCAATTCTGGCATGTCCTTGCAGCCAAAATGATCTTCATCATAGTCATGGAGGTAAGACCTTCTTAGCATTCATTCTAGTTAGTCTCTCTGCTCCCATTAGCCATATACTTCTAAAGATATCTCCTCAGAAAAGAAGTAGTATTATTTCAATAAGTTGTTTTGATGTATTTGTTGTCATAAAAAGCAACTTAAGGATATTTTCAGTATAATGAGTGCCTGTTATTCACTTAATAACTATCAAGGTGACAGAAAAGAAAAAAAAATATGGCTACATTTCTTGAGGGACAGGAAAAAGGCAGGGGACCCACTGATTTTACTGAATACCTTTACATATTGGTTCCAGAGGCTATAATAACCTTGTAAGTTTGACTTAATTATTTGCTCTTGAAAAATGAATATGAGACTTATCAAAATAAGGTATTTAGTTTAAAGATAATCAACTAATATTGAACCTGGTTTTGATGCCAGATGTCTCACTATATTATAATATGTTGGAATTTCCAGTATAAGTTTAGATATAAGAAACACAGAAAAAATAAAATAAAAAAAGAAGTAGAAGAAGAACAAGCACAGAGGTGGTATTTGACTAAGACACAAATTGAGAGCTATTAATTTTAAGACATGAAACCCAATAAGTAAGAGACAAGTCAGTGTAAGGCACTTTTTTTTTACTCTACAGTGGATCTCAATAATGGAAAAGTTTAATGCAAGCACATGTAAAGTCTGATCAGTTTTTCTTTATTTTTTATATATGCAAGTGATTTTAAAAAATCAAATAATTTTGCATGGTAAAGAAAAGAGAGCAGTCTTAGGCAGTATTCCTCCACATACCTCCCCCCCCCTCTATTTCTCTCTTTGTTCTTTATCACTTTTTTCATTTCTACATTTTTTCATCATCTTTCAGTCTGGTAAACTGCACTAGGAATCTTTTGATATTTTTCTTTTGTTCATTCATTACTAGAGGCTCGATGCACAAAGATTTGTGCAAGAATGGGCCCTCCTCTCCCTGGCTTCCGGCACAGACTTCACTCTGGCCGGAGCTGCCTTTCTGCCTTCCCACACTGCCCAGAGGCTCGGACCTGCTGGGGTGGTGCAGAACACCTGCATCCTGCCCTGCCTTCAGCCGCTCAGTGCCTATGTATGCAAATTACCTGCCATATTTGTTTGGGTTGATTTGCATACTCACTCCTGATTGGCTGGTGTGTGTTGCAAAGTTACAGTCAATTAGCATGTTACTTTTTTATTAGGTAGATTTTTACTAATGTTTGTAATTATCACAGGCTCTGATTCATTGTCTTTTTGGGATTTTTCTTTAACTTCTCTTGTATTAATTACTATATTTTCTGCAATCTATGTTTCTCCCATTTTTGGATTGATAGCTTACTTTTAATGAAGTACATCTTTCAGTAATTTGCTGAGAAAAATTATGGGCCATCATTTTTTTGAAAACTTGCATATTAAAAACAAATGTTCTTTCATTATTGATGATTGAAAGTCCTTTTCCCTGAAAAATGTTTAACCATCTTTATTTTGGTATCCTGAATTTTTTTAAAGACATTGCTCTATTTTCTGTTAGCTTTTCCCTGGGTTAGGGCCAGTGTTATTATAAAATGCAAATGCAATACCATTCTGATTCCCTAGTCTTTATGATTTTTGTTGTTGTTTTTTCTGTTTTTTTGTTTTGTTTTGTTTTGGTTTTTTGGTTAATCCTCAAATTGATATTTTTCCAATAATTTTGTTTTTAGAGAGAGTGGAAAGGAGAGGGAGAGACAGAGAGAAATATTGATGTGGGAGAAACACATTGATTGTTGCCTCCTATCCACACCCCTACCAGGGTCAGGGAACATTTGCAAGTTTAAGTGCCAGCTTTCTCTACTCTAGAGTCTGTTATTACTATTCCCTCCCTTCTTTTTGTCTTTGTTGGTTATATTACCTTTTAAAATTCATTTTCAAGTATTTTATTAGGTTTTTAGGAAGAAGTATAGAAAAATGTATATTCAATAATGTGTTCAACCTCAATTTCTATATTACATATTTTAGAATGTATTTATTTGTTTACTTTTGGTCTTTGTAGGAACGTTCCAGGACAAAGGCCATATCTTTTTTTATTTTCCTGGCTTCCTGCATTGAGCACAATTTATTGAATGAATGAAATTATTTGTAAGAGCTTCCTGCTGAACATTTGGCAATTCTAACACTGTTATTTTATGTTTTTTTTTCTAGCACGTTGTGTTTCTAGTTAAGTTTTTCTTGGCTTGGATGATCCCTGATGTTCCAAAAGATGTTCTGGATAGAATTAGGCAAGAAAGGCTAATGACAGCCAAGATTCTCCATGACTTTGAGCTTAAGAAATTAAAAGAGAACTTGACAATGGATCCTAGTTTACTTGCCAAGGAATTCATCGTTCAGGAAAACAAAGTATAGCTGGCTAAATCAACAGTCTAGTCAACAAAATGAGTAAGCAGCTGGTAGCCTGTCTGGCTTCACATTTTCCCTAGATTAGGGCCAGAGGCCGGAAGCCATGTATCAATTTTATCCCTTCTCCGTCTTTTTTAACTCAAAGTTCTTGTACACTTTTATAGAGGCCAACTTTGTGAGGTCAGAAGAATACCTTCTCTGCTTCATTGGCTGGGCCCTTCCTAGATATTGTTTTCTGGGATTCTATAAATGATTGTTAAAAGTGCATGTGGAATCAGAATATGGAAAATCATGGAATGTTGCAGTTTATAATCCAACACTGGACTAGTGCTGTCCCATCACCTTCCAGTGCATCTGCATATTTTCATGGTCTTCTATTGAGTTGTTTCATATCACTTTCCCATCAAGAAAAATGTTGAGACAAAGAAAAAAAGAAGTGAAGGGGCTTAAAAAGCCATATTTATCCTGCTATTTCAGACTATGCAAATGAAAAACCAAAATCTATGACATAAGAAGACTCACATATTAAGCATATTGGGTAAATATCACGGCGAAGGTATGTTTCTGAAGTAGTCCTGAATAAGTGAAACTTCCATAAGAATCCCAGGTAGTCCTTCGGGAAAATGCAAAATTGCTTTTTCAGGAGACTGAACATTTGGGTTTCAACAAGAGATTAACAATTCAGTTGTTTAAAGATAACGTTTTGGTAAAAATAGTTTGAAGACTGGATTGTTTTATCTGGAAAAGAGCATTAAGAAGTTATTAGATTGTTTCAGGTCTTTGAGTAAATGAAAGATATTTTAAAGCAGCAATGTCTTTTCTTTGTAGTTAAGAAATTCAAGACAATGCATATTGATTAATTTATTGATCTTACTATAAAAATTGTTGAATTATTTAAAAAATTATTTGTCTTCTACAATGCCTTTTTTCATCATGAAGCTTGTTTGAGCATTAGCTATTTGTATGTTAGCCACAAGTTGTTTATGGAATTTGATTTTTTTGTTTAAAGTAATCTCAAATCTTTTAATGCACTTACAACCCTTTACATTGATTCATCCCTTTACACAATGTTCAGCACCTTACCCCTATGCCTTTGACACCCAGAGGTATTGTTAGCTATTGATTTAATGTGTGATTTGACATCAATCACAGAGTTTAACAGCAAAAGTGGATCAACTAAATCAGAATGAGGTGGTAAAATTGATAGCTAAATTTTAAAAAAAAAGTTGAATTATTACTCTCATACTTAGGTCTGTGGCACATATACACTCATTCTTATTCTTATTTCCCTTAAAAATACTATATACACATATATAGCATATATATTTGTAACTTTACAGAGTGAGAGATACAGGTCAACTCGAATCTCTAGTTTTAAATTATACTTAAGTGCCAAAGGAATAATATTTTTTAATTGCACACAAAAGAAGAAATGACATTACAAAAAAATTTTAAGTGGTGTTTCATTGTTTGATGCTAATATATTTTGTGGAATTGTCAGTATTAAGTATATGTCAGGAAGTATTAACCAATGTATTTGCTTTGGTTAATATTAAGCATTTAGATCTGAGGATTATGAATTTTATAAAACTATGAGATAGTTATCCCAATATTCGCAGTAATAATTTGTCATCCACTAGGTAGATTTTTATGAACATTTTTGTGTAATTTGAAATTCATTGTTGAGGCATGATTTCACATGTGGAGGAGATATATTTCTTGCTTGAGAAATCCAGTCAGTGTTACTATGAAGTAAGCCACAGATGCAGTATGTTTGACTTGTTCAATAAAACCGTATTACTACGGTGTTGTACATTGTGCATAGCTCATATTGTTCCTTCTTAGGTGTTAATAAAAATTAGAATGTGGAAACTGTTTTTTATGGCTTTTAATTTTTGTGGCCTAACAATATTTATAGAGCTGGATTGTAAGAAAATAAAAACATATTTCTCTCACAAGGTTGTCTGTTCATTGCCATCCTAAACTAACTCAATTTTAGATTTCTAGAATGTATGGAAGACAAGAGAGGAAATGGTAATTTTTAGTCTTTATGATTAGTTGGTATTTTTCTTTTAAAATATTGATACTTTGTATTCATGTTTCAATCTTCCGCAAAGAGTTTCTCCTAGTTTCACAGAATTTAAAATGAAATATAAGTATATTCATCACTTTCATAAAAACTCTCTAGTCCAAGTCCAAAGCCAAATCCATTCAGATTGACTTGTCTTATCTAATTTAACCTATTGGTTAATATCTGAGGGCTGAATTAATAGCACATGGCTATCAAATGTAATTTGATTTTTATCAGCATGGCAGATCTGTTTATCATCCAATCAAACCCACAGTTACTTTTTTAAAAATGTTCCAGGAAACATTTGAGATTTTATTTGACATAATTTTAAATACAAATGCTGAAAAATACATAACTCTTTTTAAATGTCATCCCTAATCCTTGCCTTCATTAGGTTTTCTTTGAACATAAGAAGCAGAATCCACTTCAAAACATTTATTTTAGAGTGATTCATCAAGAATGGAGTATCTTAATTAAATGGAATACTCTTATATTTGCTGTATCTCATGACTCCTCCTAGATTTAATATTCTTTTATCTAAGCCATTAAGCGAGTTACCAAGGAGAAGAAGGAAAGAAGATGTTAAAGAGGAGAGGGACCTAGGAAGAAGGAGATAAAAGTTATCTCCTTATGAAACTGCATGTTTCCATGGGAGAGAGTTGTGTAAGGTGTCATGGTGCAGCTGTTGGGGCAGAGGGAGGGGTAAAAGGAAGGTCTCTTTCCTTAGCCATCAAATAAGGATGAGAGAAAAACCAAACAAATTTCAAATTGGAAACTATTATGTATCAAAAGTAACACTGATTCCAAGTGATTTTGTGGTGTCATATGTTATGTGTAGTCCTGGATCTCTACTGATTGACTCCAGGTGAGGGTGAGGAATTTGTATTGCTCATTCAAAAGGTGAATGTATTGTTTTGAAAGAACCTTTCTACTACTTGTTTTTAATTAATAATAGTTTTTATCAATTAATGTTTTAGGAAAAATAGCATTGCAAGAAGTACCATTGGCCAGGCTTACAAGTCTGTTACCATGATTCACTGTGATTATTCTGTTATTTTTTTTCTAGACAAGTTATTAATCTCTTCCTTTATGTGTAACAATTTAAATATATTAGTTATTCCAGCATTATTATTTCAGCATTAAAAATTCATGATAACATATTTTTTAAAAAGATAGCGTCTTTCAAAGTGTGTGAGATACCTGCTTTCATCACTCCAAAATGTATTTAAAATGCATTTATTTTCTGTGAGTGAATATGTGCCATGCAGTTGACAAAGAAAATAAGTTTTGTTTTTTCTTTTCTTCCAATTTGTATGTGTGCGTGCACCTGTGGGAGGAAGTAGGTATGCAGGTATGCAGGGAAAGTTGCTATTAAGTAACAAATCCTAAGAGATTCACATTCACTCAGTGAATGAAGTAATCCTTATTTTTAAACTATATTTTGACATGAACTCAATTTGTTCTGATAGTAAAACGTTGATATAATTTTTTTCTGAATTTGAGTGTTTTAAGAGATTTTTAAGTCATTTTTTTTAGAAACATTAAAATGCATTACATACAACATATTTTATTCACAGAATTACAATTGTTATATTTAGAATTGCAAATTCTTGAAATAGAGGTCAGATGGCACAAAAAATGGAGGTGGTAGTAGTTTTGTTTTGCCTCTTTATTTTTTCTTTTTTGTGAGGTGATATAGAAGTGAATAGAAAGATCCAACGACATAATTAGTAAGTTAATATATTTTCTGAATTTACTTCCATTCCTGTCTTTCCTCAGAAGAAATCCACAACCACCTTCACTGGACTTCTCTGGGCTACTTGTGAGAAATGCATATCCCTTGTCCTACCTTAGGTCTTCAAAGGCAGAAAGAATCTCTGGGAGAGGAACCTTAAAACAGTCTTCAGTGTTACAAAATATCCGAAGGATGTTATGCTGACATAGTGTTATAGTTTGCTAGTATCTTTAAAAAACAAAAGTTTTTATTGAACTTTTAAAGAGAGAGGAAGGAAGAGTGAGAGAAAAAAATATCAATGACAGAAAATCATTGATGGGCTGGTTTCTGCACGCCCCATTCCAGGGATTGAGCCTGCAACCCAGACATGTGCCATGGTTGGGAATTGAACCAGTGACCTCTTGGTACACAAGTTGATGCTCACCACTGAGTCACACCAGCTGAAAAACTAGTATTATTCATTCATTCATTTATTTTAATTTTTTTTTAATTTCATAGCAGAAAGGAGAGAGAGATAAAAAAAAACACATCAGTGGTGAGAAAGAATCATTGATTGTTTGCCTCCTGCATACCCCACAATGGGGATGGAGTCCGAAACCTGGACACATGCCCTGACTTAACCACTGAGCCATGCCAGATGGGCTAGTATACTTTTTAAAAACTGAATTTATTGTGATGACATTGGTTCACAAATCCATATTCTATAATACCTAGGGTAAGTGTGTGAACCATTTGTCATAAAAATATACCCCATGTTCATGGTTACCTTTTTGGGGTATAAGATGGATGAGAATTTCACAAAAATACTAAATTATCTAGCCTCAAGCATTTTTAATAACATTAAACACTAATTTACCAATCCAACCAATATGGAAGTATGCCAAGTCATGTAGACTCGAGATTTTCAAATTTTTAGAAGTCCTCTAGTCCTGTGCAGGAGTAATTGAAATCTTATATCCTAAGAGCCATAGACCTACTTAATATTTTTTTAAAGAGGGAACATAAGATAAAAGTA